GGCCCATGGACCTACTGGCATGTGTGAGATCTGGCACTGGGAGAGGTTCTGATGGAGGAGTTTGGGAAACTCCTCCACTGAGGCACAGTCCCTAGGGTGAGTGCAAGAACCAAGACAAGAAGCAGCACAGATCAGGCCAGGTTTTGGAACCCACCAGCATACTTAGCTCAGATCTGGGGCAAGCCCTGCTAGGCCAGTTCATATCACCCACTGGCAAATCCGAGAACCAGAATGGTGTGTGGGTCAGACTGGTTGGGCCACCATACCAGTTAGCTTACATTAAGGCCAATATTGAGAGCTTCCTGGGCTAGTCTGGGCTAGGCTGTATCCCCCACCAGTGTGAACTGGAATTGGGGGCGGTGCCTGGTATGGTCAGGCTATAGCACCCCTTGGCAAATGCTGAGTTGAGGCAGGCCATTCCAGACTGGACTGCAGTGCCCAACCACCACAAGTGAGACTGGTGGTTAGCGAACAAACATATTTAGGGGGGCTGCATGGTGCTCTCCTGTTGGACCACTACCCCCACTAGTTGACTGTGAGCTGGGATGGGCAGACCAGATCAGGCAGGACTACAACACCTATTGGCCTCATGTGGGCTGGATCAGGGGAAAGCCAGACTGGGTTGACTGTTCCTACTGGTGCATGCACAAGTCAGAATGGCTGTGGATTGGTTGGGCTATGCTGCAGCATTAGCTGACACAGGGAGAGGGGCAAATTCTGTGAAGTTAAACTGCAGAATCACCTGGAGGGTGCAAAATCCAGGGGTGGATTGGGCCTAGTAGGGAAATAGTGGTACCTCCCTCTTGGGTTACCACTCCCACTGGAGAGCATGAGAATCAGGACTGGGGCAGACATAGCTAGATAGAAAGTGGCACCTACTGGCAGGTGTGTGGGCTGGATAGTGAGGCTTGTTGGGATGAACTAAGCTTCAATGCCCATTAACATGTATGAGAACTGAATGGGATGTGGGACAGAAGAGTCTGTTGTACATATTGCCCAGCATGGGAACCAAGGCAGGGGCGGGCCTGTTGGGGCTTATTGGGAGTCACCCCAACTAAGCTGTAGCTCCCATTGGTTTATGTGGCCAAGTGTGAGGTGGGTAGGACAGGGCTGGACTATAACACCCATTAGTTTGTTAGAGGACAGGGCTGGAGACAGAATTGACCCAGCAATCGCAATCACCAGTGTATATGTAAGCTGATTTGGGAGATAGACAACACCGGTCCTTGAACTGGCAAGCACACACACAAGATCATCTCACATGAGATTTCTTTGGGGATTCCCCAAGCTTAACCACTGGACTAGGAGAAAACTGCAGGGTTCATGGTGTAACCATCGAATGCCTATGTCAGAGCTGGGCCTCCTCAGTGACTTAGAGCAGTGGACAGCATATCCAGATGCACATGAAGGATATGGCAGTACATTGGAGCCTGCAGAGAACACTTGGTACCACAACAGAGGATAGAGGACAGAACAAATCGATCAACTACCCCAGCCAAGGGTTGGCAGTGAAAATCTAGGCAAATGGAGACTCTAAGGTGGACTATGTCAGCCAGTATATTCTAGAGAGATTTCATTGTGCTTGGAGTGGCGAGATCAGTAGTAATTCAGAACTGTTGAATTACCAAAACCGCTTGAGTGGATCCATTGGAGCATGCCCTATATCAGGGACCCTGGAATGCGTGGTAGGGTGGATGTGGCTTTTCCCTTATCTCTCTTCCTCCAGATACAAGAAGGAAAAAAATGAATGTGGTAACAATGGTCTTACCCACTTTTCTCTAGCCCTTGACTCTTTGTGCTTTAATCAACTATGTAAAGATTATCAACAAAATAGAGAGAGAGAGAAAAAAAACTCTGTCCTGGACTCTCTGCCTTGCAAATAAATGAAATATTAAAATGTTTTCCAGGTACAACTTCAAAACTGCTGTTTTTCTGCATTGTTGTTAAAGGATCAATAGTTCTGTGGGTGTGCTAACTTTAAAATCATACTTTCTTGATGTGTTATCATGGGACGACAATTTTTTGCTTTTAGAATCTGGAATATGTCACTCCATTCTCTTTTGGCCTGTAGTTTCCTGTGAGAAGTCTCCTGTGAGTTTAATTGGTATCCCTTCATACGTCAATTGATTTTTTTCATGTGCACATTTAAGGATCTTTTCCTTATGTTCAATTGAAGAGAGCTTGATGATCATGTGTAGTGGTGAAGATCACTTTTGATCAAGCCTGTTGGGAGTTCTGAGCCCCTCCTGGATCTTGTTTTCCAATTCTTTCTCTATATTAGGGAAATTTTACCTTATTATTTCATTGAATATATCTGTAAATCCAGCTTCACTTTCTGCACCTTCTGGGACTCCCATAACTCTTATGTAAGGCATCTTAATAGTGTCTTTCAATTCTTGAATACTTTTTTTGGCCTGATCCAGCTCTGCTTCCAGCTTTTTGTTTGCTTCTCCATGCTGACAGGAAACATTTTCCAATTATTTCGTCTTTGAAAATGAAATAAAATTCTTCCATAGTAAAGAAAAGTTAAAAGAATTTGCCTCTTCCAAACCTGCCCTACAAAGAATACTGCAAGATGTTCTCTTGATAAAGAGGAATAGCACCCACCAAAACCAAAAGCAAATGGGAAGAACATCACAGTAAAATAACAACAGAAGACTAAATCAATGAACAATCCATTCCTAAAATGACAAGACCAAAGTACCACCATACATATTAACCCTGAATGTAAATGGCTTAAGCTCAAATGTCATGGATTAGTAGACTGGATTAAAAAACAAAACCTATCTATTTATTGCCCACAGGAGACACATTTCACCAACAAAGACCAGCAAAAACTGTATCTCATGGACTTTTATTTTTTTGTGTTAGTTTCATCTCTTCAAAAGTTTCTTCTGATTATTCAATGACTCATAGATCATACAGTAGCATCATTTTCTTCAAGAAGGTTCTTGACTTTTTCATTTCTTCAGTGACACATTAGTCATTGAGTAGCATGTTACTTCATGGTGTTGTTAATTTCTTTTTTCTTCCTATTGTTGATTTTGTATTGTGACTTTTCATTTAAGGGGATGTACAGTAACTGTGGAGACTAACATATCCAGATGTGAGGATACTATGTAGTATGCATCTCCACTTCCAGACAAAGATGGACTTACAATTGTCATTATCTTAACAGGATGCTGGACTCTCTGCCATTGTCCATGCCCACAATGTTGGACATATGATCGTGTATGAAGAACTATACTTGAGTAACGATATATGGGAACTTGGTGGGGGGGTGGGATTTAGGGTGAGCATAAGGGAAATCCCAGGAGCCTATGTAACTATATCAATCCCAGGAGCCCATGGAACTGATAAGTAAAAAAGATTAAAAAAAATCATACTTTAAAAAATTTATTGTTTAAAATTTTTATTGGAAAGGCAGATATACAGAGAGGAGGCAGAGGAGAGAGAAAGATCTTCGTCTGATGGTTCACTCCCCAAGTGGCCAAAACGGCAAGAACTCTTCCAGGTCTTCCTCATGGGTGCAGGGTCCCAAAACTTTGGGCAGTCCTGGATTGCTTTCCCAGGCCACAAGCAGGCAGCTAGGTGGGAAGCAGGGATGCTGGGATTAGAACCAGTGCCATATGGGATCCTGGCATGTTCAAGGCAAAGACTTTAGAAGCCAGACTACTGTGCTGGGCCCTAAACTTAAACTTTCAATGTTTCTCCATTCAGTCTATTGATGATTCGATTACAAAGGCAGTACACTAAACCATGTTAATTTTTTTCACCTTTTCCAAAAAAAGTGCACTTATTTCTTTTGGAGGAAGATAACCCATCTTCTGTTCATCTAGTGATTCATTTTTCTCACTCATACAGTAGTGTTCGCGTTAACTGCTTAACAGCAGGCAAATTCAGAAGGAATGTCATGAACTCTCAGGGAAGCAGAGGATATTTAGAAACAAGAGAAGCAAAACAAAATTGCAGCAACAGAGATCGTTTTTTCTTAAGCCACATACATCACTCTGGCATACCAAAACTTCGCCAAGACTGAGGTGTCACAGCTCTCACTCGCGGCAGCACATTTGCACACGTGTGAAGGACAGCACAGACCTCCAGGTATCGGTAAACACAGAATAACCTCACCGTGGACCGGCCGGAGGGTGGTGGCGCCTGCACCCTCGCCATAGCCTCAAGGGGCACCCGCACCTTCGCCCAGGGTTCGGGGGTCGCCTACACTCCTGTGGGCCCCGGCACCCTCGCCATAGCCCCGAGGGACGCCCGCATCCTCCCCATAGCCCCGGTGGGTGTCCGCATCCTCATCTTGGCCCGGGAGTCGCCTGCACCTTCGCCATAGCAACAGGGGACGCTTGCACCCTCGTCTTGGACCCGGGGGTCGCCTGCACCCTCGCCATAGCCCCGAAGGACGCCCGTATCCTTCCCATCGCCCCGGAGGGCGCCGGCACCATGCCTAGAACACAGCACGGCCCTAGACACATAGCCGTTAAGAAGACATCAATTGCGTCAATTCCAAGAGCCGACGCACACCGCGACGTCACCCACGAGACCCCGCCCTCCCTCCGCCCCGGAGCCCGCTAGGCGTCCCAAAGAGGCGGAGCCGAGGGCGACGGGAGGAGAACGCGCATGCGCCTTGCGGGCCCAGCCCGCCAGCCCCCTAGCAGTCTCGCGAGCTTTCCAAGTCGGCGGCGTAGGCCGTAGCCTCGGATGCTGGCGCGGTAGAGGCTGTCTGCCACAGCCGGGGCCTCGGGACGCGGAGCCGCCTCCCCGCTTCCGCCGCTCCTTCGCTTCACCGTGCCCTTGCCCTCACGGGAGCCCGCCTTCCCTGACCTCCGTGACCCGGCCGGCCCCGCCCACCGCTGCCGACGTGATTCCCGCCGTGAGGTAAGCGCCGGTCGAACCCGGAGTCCCGCGGCAGAGCGGCGGCGGCGGCGGCGGCGGCGGCAGCTGGGCCCGGCGGAGGCCGGTGGCGGAGCCGCGCGGCGCGGGCGAGCACTCGGCTGGGCCTCTCGCTCCTCCGTCGGCTGTGTTGGCGCCGGCAGCCCGCCGCAGGCCTCGGCCTCGTCCGGCTCTCTGACGCAGACGGGAACATCATGTCCGCGGCCGAGCCTCCGCCACCCCCGCCTCCCGAGAGCGCGCCTTCCAAGCCCGCAGCCTCGGGCGCCGGCGGCGGGAGCGGCGGCAGCATCGGCGGCGGCTGCAACAAAGGCGGCCCCGAGGGCGGCGCGGCGCCGGCGGCCGCTCCTGCAGCCAGCGCGGGCTCCGCGGACGCCGAGATGGAGGTGAGGACGGTCGGGGGTGCGGGGAGGGCGCGGGAGGTGCACCTGACCCCGCCGCGCACCGGGCCGCGCCTCTGTCACTTCACGTGGACGCGGTCGCGTCTCGTTTGGCACACGGAACGGAGCTTGTTGATGTTTGCCGTGGCCACGGGGGAGTTTCTCTGTTTCCGACCCTCCCCGGAGGTTCCCGTCATGCCCTCTCCTACCTAGACATGTGGGTGGCGGCTTCCATCAAACTTTGGGAGAGGGCGAGGTGTGTGGGTGGGCGGGGGTCGTTGCAAAGCGGCGCCTCCGAGGATTGGGGCCTTGTGGGGGCGGTCTCTGTCCTGGGCCCAGACAATGGCGAGAACAGGATGGCCGGGTGCGGGGCGCAGCTGCTGCTGCTGCTGCTGCGAGAGGGCCGGCGGGAGGGCAGCTGCGTGCAAGCCTGCTCTCCCATGGGGTTGGGGGGGCGGCGGGAGAGTCCTGGGTGCCGGGGTGGTTCGGCATCTAGTGCATTTCCCCTTTTCAGGTCTGTCTGCAGAAGCAAAACAACAAAAAAGTTGGTACTTCTCGTTGGTCTGGGGTTTACCTCTGGGCCGGGGTTGGCCCCAGGGATGGTGACATTGCTGTGGGGGTGACAAGATGGGGTCGCTGCCAGCTCAGTCTGTTGGGTCTGTCCCTGGGGTCAAAGTGAATGCTCCTTCCAGTTTTTATTTTTGGTCTTGGACCTGTTTTGAAAAATGTTTTATAGTCACAGGCCGAAAATTTCTCTGGTGTCTTTTTCCCCCTGAAGTCCCCCACCCACTTCTTTACGTAGATTGGAAGTAACAGCACTGTTGTAACACCGTTGAAGGGGAATTAACACCAATAAGGACTTGGTAGCTCAGTTTACTTGCCAGGTGCCCATCCTACACAGTAATTTCATTTGGGTAGCTAGAGTGAACTACCTCACTACTTCACAAAGGAACTTCAGGCATTAATGGAGTTGGAATTCTGGGATTCTGTGCTTTTCAGTGATGGAAGTTTGTCTCAAACTAGAATATTCCGTGTTGCCTTTCCCCCCTTGAGGTTCTAAGTGTATCAGGGCTGCTTCACTTGGATTCTTGGCTCCTGTCTTAAGGTGGGAGCCTATGGCACAGGGATGAATGGTGTGTAAGTCTGGATTCTCTGCAGAAGTGTTTGCCTTAGCTTTTCAAAAGAATCTGCCATTCCACATTTTGGCATAACAAAAGCTTTATTAGAGGTGTTTACATATCAGAAAGGAGGGTAAATGTAATGGCTGAACTAAATTGGGTTTTAAATTAAGATTGAATTAAACTTAGAGAAACTATGAATGTGACAACAGCTACCATATGAAATTAGTGTTATTTCAATTTGCCCCAGTGAGGAGGTTGAGTCTTTAAGTAATACTCACGTTAGAACTCTGACCAGCCCCCCAAAGTGAACCTTTCCCACACATTTTTCTCTGTGCTCTGTGGAAAAACAAAAGATGCTTTCCATTTTTATTTATGGAAGAATGATTTAACTTCTTAACATCAGTAATTTAATTTTTGTCCCATTTTGCCATGAATTTGTTTTGATTTTGTTTTCTGTTTTTACTTGATTTAGAATTACTGGGATTCACTGCTAGAAATCTTGTTTGAGCACATATGAATCTGACAACATTAATGTCTCAGAGTTGGAATAAAGATGGCCTTCTTTTTTGAATGTAGAATTTATGGCAGATTTTTCCAAAATAAAAAAACAAATGCAGGGTTTTTTTTTTCCCCCTAACAGCTGGTTTCTCAAAAAGCAGTATCCAGCTTTTCATATTAAGTTTTTCCTTTTTTCTTGGTGCTGTTGGGCTAAGGGAACACGTTCTTGTTTTAGTTATTACTGTATTATGGACAGTATGGTATTTTTGTTCATTGTTTCTTGCTACCTTTTTTTTTTTTTTAAGATTTTTTTTTCTTTACATTGTAAAGTCAGATTTACAGAGAGAAGTGACAGAAAGATCCTCCATCCACAGGTTCACTATCCAAGTGGCTGCAGTGGCCAGAGCTGAACCAGTCCAAAGCCAGGAGCCAGGAGCTTTCCAGGTTTCCCACGGTGCTGCAGGGTCGATCCCATGGCTTTGGCTTGTCCTTGACTGCTTTCCCAGGCCACAGTCAGGGAGCTGGATGGGAAGTGGAGCACTCATGACAAGAACTGGTGGCCATATTGGATCTGGTGTTTGCATGTAGAGGCGTTAGCCATTGACTAGACTGGATAGCTAGATACACTGTGTATCAACAACTGTAGGACTTCACAAGCCTGGATCCAGAGGTTTTTTGTTTGTTTGTTTTTAAGATTGAAAGATATGATGACCTATTGGAAAGTTCATTTTATTTTTGTAGGCTGATTATTCTTGATAGTTAGGCAGAATTTTGTAAGCTGGAAAACTCAGTGGCTTTGTCATCAGGTTTGTGATGTGTTTAAGGAAGTGCCTAAGGAGCTCAGCAATGAAGCTGATTTTAAGCTGAGGGCGTTTGGCTCCACTTAGTACCATACTAGACTGCACCTTTTTAAGTAGTCGCAAATAGCTTTTTGTATGTATTGTCAAGCTAGATTTGTGCATAAATTTGCCAAAATAGCATATTTATTACCAATTTGAAGATTACTGTAGGGCATTAACAGTGTAGAGAATGCTGTAGAGTATTAAGGTTAGATTGTGTGTTAAGCATTTTGTATTACTCTGCAAGATAGTAACCCGAGTGGATAATACTGTCTTACCTGTGTGTTTGTGCAGTAGCACTATAATACAGTTTCATGATGACAAGGGAATTTATTTCATATGTACTATTTAATCTGACTTCATAGCTTTTATTTGGAAAGAGAAGCAGATTTGTCCAGAAACAGTTGGGCAAAACTGTTGGAAACAGTTTTATTTTAGGATGATATAGATAATATTTTGCTTTATTCTTGGTGGTGTCTGTGTACAACTTACCTTCATTGGGTTAAATGGTTATTATCCTTGTAGTGTTTAGTTTTGTTTCATCCGGTTTCCTTTCAGGTTAAACAGTGGTCTTGAGTATCTAGAAAGTTGAGGGGCAGTATGGAGCGGGAGTATTTTATTTAGAGTGTGTTGTGGGAGAAATTCTCTATGATGTTGTGTTGTCTGTTTTTGAGGAACAATTCCATGATTTTTCCTTCCTGCCAGGAAGTATTTGATGAGGCATCACCTGGAAAGCAAAAAGAAACCCAAGAACCAGATCCTACCTATGAAGAGAAAATGGTATGTTCTGGTACATTCATAGAGTGTTTAATAAGGAAACTTCTCATTAGGTGAATCCTTGTGTACTTTTATTTAGTATTAACTTGAAAGACTGAGTAACAGGGAGAAAGAGACAGACAGAAAGATCTTCTAACTGCTGTTTACTCCTGAAATGGCCACAGTGGCCCTGGATTGGGCTAGACCAGTGCTAGGAGCCAAGAACTCCATCCAGATTTCCAGTGTGAGTGGCAGGGGCCCAAGCATTTGGGCCATCTTCCATTGCTTGCTTAGACACAGTGGGGAGCTGGAATGCTGTCAGAACAGCCAATATGTGAGTGGGTCCCAGTATGGAATGACGCTGTCAGAGGGACCAGCCCTTATGTTTACTTGTTATAGTTACTGCACAAACATGGAATTATGTGGATTGTGGTATACAGTAACTTGTGTGTTGTACTTGCCTGTGTAAGTCAAATATAAGTGTTTTTGTGAGCTCATGGGATACAAATGGGCTGCCTTAATATACCTTTAAGAATTTTACTGAGAGGACAAGTCATTATTGAATTGTGTTTATTCTGTCTAGCTCACAGCATTCTTTTTTTTAAAAAACATGTTTTACTTGTGCTTATCATTCACTCTGAATACAGCAGCCTGAGCTGGCTGGGCCAGACCCTCAGACTGGATCTCCCACCTGACTGACAAGAACCAACCACTTGAGCCATCACTGCTGCCTCCTGGGGACTACATTAGCAGGAGCTGCAGCTGGTAGCAGGAGCTGGAGCAAGGACTTGGGAACATGCATTCCAAGATATGGAAGTCCTGAATCTATGCGTGTCACCCAACCAAAAACATAATGTTGATATGTACTTTAAGTTTTTTCTTTATCTTTGAAGTCATATGAATTAAAATTCTTTTTAATTTTTAAAATTTTGTTTGAGCTGTAGAGGGGACAGGTTGCTTTCTATACAGTGGTTAATTCCCTAAATGACTGCCACGGCTAAGGCTAGACCAGGTCAAAACCAGGAGGCCTGAGCTCAACCCTGGTCTCCCACATGCATGGGCAGGTACCCAGCTCCTTAAACTGTCACTGTTCCTATGTGTGCATACACGAGGTGGGTCTCCCAGGTGATGTCTTAACACTCAGCTCAGGAGTACCTGCTGTTTAAACCCAAAACAGTCTGCTTTAAGTCATATCAGCGCTATTTAACTGCCAATATTGTGGCTTAGTTTTAGTTTCCTTACTACTTTATCTTGCTCTTCTTAAGGTTGAACGCCTCTGAGAAATCTTTGCTTGCCTTGGGAGACTTTTGTTTTCTTATATTCCATTTAGGTGATTATTTGTTTGTCTTTCTAGGTTAAAATTTGATAATTGGAGTCCTATCATTGGTTTTCATCTAAAATCTTTAAACCAGATATTTGTAAATCTTTATCTGAGCTGGAGATCAGTATTTTTGTTTTTAATTCCCATTCAGAATATCAAGCTGAATTCATTGGTCGTATTTACTTCAAATATCTGCTGTTATCCTGGGCCTGGCGTGGTAGCCTGGTGGCTAAAGTCCTTGTCTCTCACGCACCAGCATCCCACGTGGGCACGGTTCGTGTACTGGCTGTTCCTCTTCCCATCCAGCTCCCTGCTTATGGCTTGGGAAAGTAGTGGAGGGTGGCCAAGGCCTTGGAACCCTGCACCAGTTTGGGAGACCTGAAAGAAGCTCCTGACTTCTGGCTTCCAATCAGCCCAGCTCAGGCCATTGCCAGGCCACTTGGGGCCTGTCTGCTTTCTGTCTGCTTCTTGGCTTTCCAATAAAAAAAGAAAAGAAGAAAATATATCCAATATTCCTATGACAGGATCCTCCACCCCCCCCTCCCGTTTTTCATATTAAGCTTTATTTTTGTGTGAAATGCAGCGTTATATAGAGAGGAGAAACAGAAAGTGATCCACTGGCTCACCCCCCAAATGGATGCAACAGCCGGAGTTGAGCCAGTTTGAAGCCAGGAGCTTCATGCTCACACTCCAGGTCTCCAGTGGGTGCAGGGGCCCCAGGGCTTAGGCCATCCTCTTCTGTTATACCATGCCATAAGCAGGGAGCTGGATTGGAAATGGAGCAGCTGGAACAGGAACTGGTACCCATATGGGATGCTGTTGCTACAGATAGAGGTCTTCTTCCCTAAGCCATGGCACCAGGCCTAGGATCTCCTATGTTTAATGGTTTTGCAAATTGAGTTTTGTAAATATATATCTTACCGTTTCCCTGTGTCCCTAATTCGGTACTCAACAATTTCAGCACTGTTATTTGTCTCCTTTCTTTCAGATTTCTTCATATTTTTACAGAGGAGTGTTTATGACACAAATCTCAGTTCATTATGGAAATTTTTAGTGGTTCTTTAATGGTTTTCATCTTCACAGAGAACTTTTACTGGAACTCTATTTGTCCCAAGTTTCTGTTTCTCAGCTTCACTTTGTTTTTTGATATGCTTTTTACGTTTCATTTGTAGAGCTTTCTTTGAACTAAGCTTACTTTAATCTGCTAGTTCATAATCATAAGTCTATCTCGTGAATCTTGAATACAGGATGTTAATGATCACTACTTCAGAAACGAAATAGTAGTGCTGGTTGATGACAGAATGTGTGGCTTTTGTTCTCTTGGAATTTCAGTGTACCCTGCTTAGCGTCTTCATTTAGCTAGTTTAAAATCTCACTACTCTGATCGAACTTCTGCGCTTTCGCCACACTTTTTGTTTTTAGTTTTTAGTTCCTCTCTATTTCTAGGTATATAAATATCTTGTTCTTTTTTTGTTAAATTCATTTTCTCCTGTCTCAAAGAGTTCATTGTTACTCATTTTAAATCTCTGATTATTTGGTTTCTTTCATGTCCTTGTTGGTGCTGTAGTAAGAATTGTTTACTTTTTTAAGATGTTGGTTTTTGTCCTTTCAGCACTTCCTTAGTGTTTGAAGATCTCGTTCTTTTAATTGTAAACTTTTTATTCTCAAAAGCAGCAAGATGTTTGCCTGTTTTCCCCATTGACACAAATAGCAAAAACACCCCATATTTTTGAATATTTGGATATTTTTGGATGCTGTATAATGGCATTTTCCATGAATGTCTGCAGTTTTACCTATTTTCAGAGCTTATTTATGCAGATCTCAAAAATAATTCAAATAGCTGTTTTTTTTTCCTCCTAATATGTTCTAGCAGCATGTTCTTGGCTTTTCTTTTTGTTATATGATAAGAAATATAAGAAATATTATATTATAATATAATATTATAAGAAATATAACTGCAAATGTTTATGGACATCCTCACACAGATTTCTTGGTTCAGTACTTTAATAAAAACAGCTTAAAATGTTGATAAGTATAAAGCGACTGAGGCTGGTCATTTACAGACATTACTGTGGAAAGCATGTAATCTCTTCAAGCCCAATAAAAATTTGGCACAACCTACAAGATGAATAACTAGTGTGTTTCTCCACACTTCTGAATAAATTAACCTGTACTTCACAAGGTCTTCATGTTTAATTTCATTTGCAGCTGTATTAAAATGTAATTTGCCTAAAATATGTTTGCGATTAATTTTTGCAAAAATGCACAGTGCCTCAGATGCCATCCTGCTAAAAAACTTTGCTACATCCTGTCTGTAGTCGGTTCTTGCCCCCTTGCCCTTGTCACTTGCATAACTAGTTAACATGTCATATCCTTTAAATAGAAGGACTCTTAAAGGATGTATTCTTGTGTTTGGTATAAGTTATTTGGTATAGAGACTCATCCTTGCTGCATGTTTCAATAAATTGGTTTGTTTTATTGTTGGGTTTGTTGTGTGGGCACATGTTGAAACTTTGCTTCCTTAGATTGTGCTAAAATGTGTGCTTAAATTTTTACAGCAAACTGACAGAGCAAATAGATTTGAGTATTTGTTAAAGCAGACAGAGCTGTTTGCGCACTTCATTCAGCCTGCTGCTCAGAAGACTCCAACCTCACCTCTGAAAATGAAACCAGGACGTCCAAGAATAAAAAAAGATGAGAAACAGAACTTACTGTCAGTTGGCGAGTGAGTACAGTTTTCTGTGCTTTGTAGTTGATCCAAACTTCTGTTTTTCTGATTTGTTTATTTGAAAGAACTATGGAGGGGTAGAGGGAGAAAGACAAATCTTCCATCTGCTGGTTTACTCCCCAGGTGGCCTCAGTGGCTAGAGCTGCGCTATGCTTAACCCAGGAGCCAAGAACTTTTTTACTTTAGGTCTCATGTAGGTGTGGAGGCCTAAGCACTTGGGCTGTTTTCTGCTGCTTATTTCCAGGCTGTTGGTAGGGAACCGGATCAGAAGTGGAGCAACTGGGATTTGAACCAGCAGTCACGGAGTGACACTATCACAATTGCAAATTTACTTGCCCTGACACATTGCTGGTTCCAACTTCTTAATATTTTTTAAAGATTTATTTATTTTGGGCCCGGTGGCATGGCCTAGCAGCTAACGTCCTCGCCTTGAACGCTCCGGGATCCCATATTGGCGCCGGTTCTAATCCCGGCGGCCCAGCTTCCCATCCAGCTCCCTGCTTGTGGCCTGGGAAAGTAGTCGAGGATGGCTCAAAGCCTTTGGGAGACCCGGAAGAAGTTCCTGGATCCTGGCTTCGGATCAGCATAGCATCGGCTGTTGCGGTCAGTTGGGGAGTGAATTAACGGACGGGAGATCTTCCTCTCTGTCTCTCCTCTCTGTATATCTGACTTTCCAATAAAAATAAATAAATCTTATTGGAAAGTCAGATTTTCAGAAAGAAGGAGTAATCAAGAGAAAGATCTTCCCTTCACTGGTACACTGTCCAAGTTACCCCAATGGCCATAGCCGAGCTGATCAGGAGCTTCTTCTGGGTCTCCCACACGGTGCACGGTCCCAAGGCTTTGGGCTGTTTTCTTGACTGCTTTCCCAGGCCACAGGCAGGGAGCTGGATGGGAAGCGGGGCTGCCTGGATTAGAACCGGAGACCATATCGGATCCTGGAGCATTCAACACGAGGACTTTAACCACTTTGCTTTCGTGCCGGACCCTAAAAATATGCCTAATATTTATAAAAGCTGCATTATAGTTTGAGTTGTGAAAACCGTATTACATTCAGAATTCAGAGGTTACACCATTTTCTAGAAAAATATATTAGAACTTAAGTTTCCTGTTTAATCATACTGAAGTGGTACTCTAGACTCAAATTGGATCTGTCTTGAGTATGGTATAGTCTCCCAAACTACATACATGTATTAGGGTTTTTATTAAAAGTCTGATTATTTGTGTCTTATGATGTCCTAAATCATAGCAGTTTGATATTTTTGTTAGTGCTTAATTATCTTTATATGAATTGAAAGTTTAGTTTTATGCTATCTATGGGTGGTTATTGGAAATAACTTGTATGTGTTGAATTTATAAGTTTAGTATAATTTTTACCTGGTAGCATTATTATTTGCCTCGCTTCTAGCTCCCAAAGTATAGAATGTGTGTCATCAGAGACAGAGTACCTGAACTTTATCTGGAGTATTGCACTCTTCCAGGGTGGCATATTTTGACCATTGTGTGTAACTAGAGCATTACATCCATCTTTTCTTCCCCGTAAGGGTTATTTATTTATTTTTATTGCAAAGACAGATTTACAGAGAGAAGGAGAGACAAAGTGAGAAAGATCTATCTGCTGGTCACTCCACAAGTGGCTGCAATGGTCAGAGCTCTGTTGGTCTAAAGCCAGGAGCCAGGAGCTTCTGGGTCTTCCCTGGGGGTGCGGGGTCCCAAGTCTTTGGGCCGTCCTCAACTGCTTTCCAAGGCCACAGGCAGGGAGCTGGATGGGAAGTGGAGCTGCCTGGACATAGAGCAGTGTCTGTATGGGATCCTGGCACTTACAGGTGGAGGATTAGTCAGTTGAGCCATTGCACTGACTGGCCCCTGCATCCATTCTCATTAATTATAAAGACGGTTTTTCACATTACATATATTTAAGTTGTTTTAGCTTTGATATGTTTGCAGCTGTTTAAGCATAGTCAGTGTCATGCACTAGGGAAGGGAAGTATAATGCAGAATTTTGAAAATAGTATGGTATTAAAAACTTCATTTTATTAGGCATACATAATGCATGGAATACATAATTACATAATGCTATTCAGCTTAAGTTACTTATTAAATAGTGTTAATGAGAGGAAAGACGTCTTGGTTAATAGATTTCCTTACTCTTCAAGCTGTCTTATACTGTGAAGGAGATTTACAAGAATAACATTAAATTTCTCCTGTAGTTTGTGGAAATAATAAATTGGCAGAGGGGATAAATGTAAGACCCCTCGTGTAACAAGCAAGAATGCCCTTGGTGTTACTTTTTAAGGAATGCTCTTTTTTTTTAAAGATTTATTATTATTATGTTTTTATTGGAAAGGCGGATATACAGAGAGAGGAGAGACAGGAAGATCTTCTGTCCGATGATTCACTCCCCAAGTGAGCGCAACGGGCCGATACTATGCCGATCCAAAGCCAGGAGCCTCTTCCGGGTCTCCCACGCGGGTGCAGGGTCCCAAAGCCTTGGGCCGTCCTCGACTGCTTTCCCAGGCCACAGGCAGGGAGCTGGAAGGGAAGTGGAATAGCCAGAACATGAGTCAGCGCCCATATTGGGATCCCACTTGCCTACAAGGCAATAGTTTAGCCACTGAGCAGGGCCAAGACAGTTTACTTTCCATCAGGCTTACCTTTGTTTTTAAAGATCTGTTTATTTAGAAGGGAGAGGCCATAAGGACCAGATTGGGCCAAGCCAAGACAGGAGCTAGGAGCTTCGTCTAGGTCTCCCTTGTGGTACTGGGGCTCTAGAACTTTTGCTGTCTTCCACTGCGTTTTCAGGTTCATTAGCAGGATGCTGAATGGGAAGTAGATAGAGTAGCTGGGACTCTGTGCCAGTAGCCATGTGCATGTCCCAGGCTGTAACTTCACCCACATGCACAGTGGTGGCTCCATGTGTTGACTTTTGATAGAAGTTAAACTATGACTAGAAATCTTTTTTTTTTTTTTAAGATTTGTTTATTTTTATTACAAAGTCAGATATACAGTGAGGAGGAGAGATAGAGGAGATCGTCCGTCCAATGATTCACAGTGAGCGCAATGGCCAGTGCTGTGCCGATCTAAAGCCAGGAGCCAGGAGCCAGGAACTTCTTCTGGGTCTCCCACGCGGGTGTAGGGTCCCAAGGCTTTGGGCTGTCCTTGACTACTTTCTCAGGCCACAAGCAGGGAGCTGGATGGGAAGTGGAGCTGCCGGGATTAGAACTAGCACCCATATCAGATCCCGGTGCGTTCAGGGAGAGGACTTCAGCTGCTAGGCCACACCGCCGGGCCCGAGTAGAGATCTTGATCCAGACATAGGTCACAGAAACATTTGTTGGAAGATTAAGGTGTAAAGTTGCAAGCTTCAGCATTGGGGAATGAGTCGTACTGATCTGAACTGTTTAGGGAGCAGGAAATAGGGCAGTATTACAATTTCAGAAAATGTTTTCCATAGGCACACTCTAGGAATATTAAAATCTGGCCATGGAAACTTTAATTTTTTAAATAATTCTGATAAATCCTAAGGTGGAATCATTGCTTAAACAACTAAATATTTGTTCTACAATATTTGGTCAGAGTTGTAATTTTAAAAATGTAGTTTAGAATTTTGGCAAGAAGGTAATTTGAGTGACATGGAATTTATTTATTTATTTATTTATTTATTTTTTACTAGTTAAAAATATAAGCTTCATTAAGGAGAAATGGGGACTGGCTTCACTGTAGGCTAAACTTATACAGTCATATGAAAGCAAATTCAAGTTTGTCATAAAGGTACTTTCATTGGTTTTTAATAAACAGTGTATGCAACAATAAACAATAAGCAAAGCTTGGCTAGTAGCATGTGATTGACTAGTGTTAGCTGTTGCTCATTACTTAACTTTTACAAAAGAAGGGGTAGGGGAGAAAAACGCACCAACCAATGCCATTCAATTTGTTGTACCATTGTAAAGAAAAATTATTAAAAAAAATCATTGGATTATTTATAAACACCAATTGCCAATAACAGTAGAAAATCAAAAGCATTACTGCACCAAAGTAGAGTATGTGCAATTATGGAAAATAATCTAAGTTTTATGGTATCTGTGGAGGACAGGAAATTGTCAAAGCCTTTATGAAAGTGCACATTAACTGCATATCTGTTAAGATTGGCAGAGACATTCCAAGCAGCATTTACATAATATGCATTACCTCTAAAATGGAAGCCTAATTGTTCAGTTATTCTAAATTACAGAATAAAAACAGAGAAGCAGTTTTGGCCATGTGGGTAAACAATGGATTTGTAAAAGCTAATTATCTCTCTCTTTTTTTTTTTTTTCCAATTTATTATGTTGCATTATGTGATACGCTTTTTAGGTACTGGAATTCCCCCTTCTCCTCCCCAATCCTCCCCCCATGGGATTCCTCCAGCTTGTTGCGTATCCATAGTTCAAGTGACTGACATGGAATTTTTATGGTGGAATGTTGCCTTGAAATTGGACTCTCATGTTTGAGCTTATCAGATACTGGCCAGTACATGATATTAGCATATTTTAACACCAATTTTATGTGCAACTTAGGGAACCATGTGGAACATTTGAGTTTTAAATTACTGTCTTTGTCTTGGTTTTAGATAGCTGTGTAAAAATTATTGTACGGCCTTGGTCAGCCTTTGAAGTATGAAGAAATAGTTGTTAAGATTAAAGTGAAAACACAGTTGATTTTTATTTTTAACTTCACAGCTACCGACATCGTAGAACAGAGCAAGAGGAAGATGAAGAACTGTTAACAGAAAGCTCCAAAGCCACCAATGTTTGCACTCGATTTGAAGACTCTCCATCATGTATGTTAAAGATATTTAATTACTTAGTTAAAAAAAATGTGAGATAAGACTTCCTTTATGTTAGAGAATTGTCTTGTTTGTAATTTTTAAAGTTTGTTTTTAATTGCTTGTGAAATAAGTTATAATTTCTTTTGATGTAGATGACAGAGTGTTACATAATTGTTTCAAAAATATATAGAATATTCTGTCAGTGCTGTAAGGTATATGCAAAGCCATAATTTTGTAGCTTGCATTTGTTTCAGGATAAGAAACTAATTAAAAAAAAAGTCGTGACTTTTGCTGAGTTATTTCCTGGTGTTTTGTATTAATGCTTTGGTTTTTTAATGAAATAATAGTTGTTGTCACTGGTTTAAGAAAGCGTATTTAACAAGGTTTGAGTTTTGCTTTTAAATTATCTTTATTTGGAGGAATCACAGATTTTCCTCTGCTCTAACTGAATTTAGCTTGTTTTGTTTTATTTGTTTTGTGTTATCTCCTCCTCTGGTCACTTTAATTGCTTTGTGTACTCCTGGTAGTTGCATTAAAAAACAAATGTATAAAGTTCAGTAGAAGTCATGCTATTTGGATTTGTGACTGAATTAATTGTAACTTTGAAGTACCAGTGAATTTGAACTTCAGCTGGACAGATGGCTCATTAGAAACTTGACAGTTCCTTTAAATGTGTATAACATTACATTTTGGGTATGTGAGGGAGAAAGAAGGAGTAGCTACAGTGTGCCTAGGGTTTTTTTTTTTAATATATATATTGGATAAGCAGATCTGTCAATCCTGGTTCATTCTCCAAGTGGCCACAATGGCTGAAACAGAACTGATCTGAAGCCAGGAGCTTCTTCTGTGTCACTTGCTCAGGTGCTTTCCCAGACCACAAGCAGGGAACTGGAAGGAAAGTGGATTGGCTTAGCTCTGGCCATTGTGGTCACTTGGAGAGTGAATCAATGGATAGAATATCCTCCTCTCTGTCTCTCCTCCTCTTTGTATATCTGACTTTCTAATAAAAATTAAAAAAAAAATTTTTTTAAAGTGATGCCTTGTTACTTCTTGTCTTTAAAATGCCCCCTCCTTTTTTTTTTTTTTTTCATCCTTAGATGTAAAGTGGGGTAAACTGAGAGATTATCAAGTCCGAGGATTAAATTGGCTCATTTCTTTGTATGAGAATGGCATCAATGGTATCCTGGCAGATGAGATGGTAAGTCCTTCACAGGTTTTTTAAAACTGTTTTGAAACTTCGATATTGTCTACGGCCATACCATCCTGAACGTGCCCGATCTCATCTCGAAACTTCGATATTTTATAGATTACAAAAGTCAGATAATGTCTTCTATTTTTATTTTAATCTGAAACAGTTAATCAGATTACTGTGAACTGATAAAATGAACTTGCTTTATTATGTAAGTGGAGTCTTTTCTATTGTGAATTATCTTTTAAGCTTATATATCTGAAAGGCAGAGAGAAAAAGAGATTCCATTCATGAGTCAGAAATGCCATCCTGGTTCATGAGGGCGGCAGAGGCTGAGTGCTTGGACTGCTGGTCATTGCCCCCCCCCCCCCCCCCCATGCATTAGCAAGAAGTTGGATGGGAAACAGAGCAGCCAGAACTTCAGCTGGCCTCTGACATGGGATGTCAGTGTCACAGGTGTCCATTTAATAACCTATCGTACAAGATCACTGGTCTCAAGAAACTTGTTTTCATTTGGCTTTTGTAACACAGTGATTTGACCATTTTTTTTGCAGTTCTCTTTTTTGCATGTTGAACTAGTGTTGTTTGTATTTGTTTGGTTCTCATAATATAGATAGTCTAAATATCCTTGCAGTTCTATTTTAAAAAATTAGGCCATGAAATGTTTTTCATTAGTAAGCCCTAATTTTTCCCAGGTTGTTAGCTTTTAAAGTTCTTTCATGAAATGTATTATGTATTATTTCTTCTTTACTACTTACGATGAAGATTTTAAGTTTTCTCATTACTTTAGTGCTAAGGCAGTTCCTTGCAGAAAGTTTGGAGTCACAAGAAATGTATTTCAGTTTTGTTGTTGCTGTTGACCTCGGGTAAAATCACTTAAATTTTTTGGGCTTGTGGGAGTGCAAGCAGAGCTTCTTTAATAGACTTACAAATGATATATGACACAATACCATTGGGCTTCAAAACATACTATATTCTTGCTGTATGTTAGCCTTAGATATTGTTGTGTTTCCTTTAAAATGTTCCTATGTGAAAGTGCTGTAATAAACTTGTGTAGAATGTGTATTAGGAAAAAAATTGTGAATGGATTTTGAAATTTTTGGCACCAGAATGTACTTTAAAATTCTATTTCTTACAAACTCTGAACTACCCTTATATATATTATTGGGAGCTATAAGTATGAAAACAGTAATTTGTTTGTTTTTCATTGGTGATTATTTTGAAATCTTTCAGGGTCTGGGAAAGACTCTTCAAACAATTTCTCTCCTTGGGTACATGAAACACTATAGAAATATTCCTGGTCCTCATATGGTTTTGGTACCGAAGTCTACATTGCACAACTGGATGAGTGAATTCAAGAGATGGGTACCAACGCTTAGGTCTGTTTGTTTGATAGGAGATAAAGAACAAAGAGTAAGTTTTTAGTATTTTGTTTTAGTAATTTTAGGTTTAGTAATGTTTAGTAAATTTTTTAAAGATTTCATTAGTATGTTATTAATTATGTTTGTTTAGTTCAGAGGGATGCATGGCCTTATGGGTCTCTGATTAGGATTGGGAGACCCACATGACCATATGGGCATAGATAAAGATAGGTGGGACAAATATTTCTGTTTTTTTTTTTTTTTTTCTTCTCTTCTGTGTACACAAGGTCGGGCTTTGTTCTGTCTTAGAAATGTCTTGTTTTAAAAAGATTTTTAGTGTATAAGGTACTGGAAGATTTAGGAAGCTAGAGTTTTAGTTGTTTTATAGTGGTAGGAGTAAGAGAATAGCAATTTTTTTTTTTTAAAGATTTATTTTTTTATTATTTTTTCATTGGAAAGGCGGATATACAGAGAGGAGAGACAGAGAGGAAGATCTTCCGTCCGATGATTCACTCCCCAAGTGAGCCGCAACGGGCCGATACTATGCCGATCTGAAGCCAGGAGCCTCTTCCGGGTCTCCCACGCGGGTGCAGGTTCCCAAAGCCTTGGGCTGTCCTCGACTGCTTTCCCAGGCCACAGGCAGGGAGCTGGAAGGGAAGCGGGGCTGCCGGGATTAGAACCGGTGCCCATATGGGATCCTGGGCGTGCAAGGCGAGGACCTTTAACCACTTGCACCACCACGCCGGGCCCAATTTTTTTTTTTAAATAAAAGTTATCTGAAGGCAGAGAGTGAATGTGCATATGAGTGAGCACTTTGATTTGCAGGTTGAGTTTTCCAAATGCTGGCAGTGACAGGTGGGCCAAGTCTGGCTAGGCTCCTGCAACTCAGTCTGTTTCTCCTGTGTGGTGCAGTTCTGCTGCTTCCTATGTTGTGAATTTTCAGGGAATTTAGGATGGAAACCAGAGCTAGGACTTCAGGTACTATAGTGGGGGGTGTGGGCATCCCTGGAGTGTCTTAACTGCTGTGCCAAATGCCTGCTCCTGCAACAGTTTTGAAAAGATACACAAGAACTTCGTGAGTTGTGAATCGTACCAGAATAAAGTTTGATCACTTTTCAATAACCTTTTCCAGTGAAAACAGTTTTGGAAATTGTGAATTTCAAATACAAGAGTTCAGATTTAGAAATATATTCATATAGTCTGAAATAGGGATTTTTGCTTTTCCTCAATGTATGAATGATGATTTGTTGTTATTTTCTTTCTCTGTTTATAGGTACTTTGGATATTTTAAGTTACCAAATTGTTTTTGTGTTTTGGGATTCAGTTACCTAATCTTTGGTTTCCATTTTTCATCTGTAAAATGAGAATAAGATAATATGTTAATGTATAAATAATCCTGAGAGAATGAAAGTTTATTATACACTATGCTTTAGTCTAATTTAACAGTGCCTTTTACTCTTTGCATAAAGCCGCATCCTAAGAATTTCAAGACCTAGTGGTATCTTTCCAAGTTAGTCTTAAATTTTGCAGGTATCTACTTTGCCAGTTTCTTTTTATTTATTTACTTCAAGACTTATTTTTATTGAAAGAGCAAATGTACAGAGATAAGGAGGAGACAGAGAGAAAGGTCTTCCATCCGCTGGTTCACTTTCCAAGTTGCTGCAGTGGCTGGAGCTGAGCTGATCTGAAGCCAAGGGTTTCCTTCAGGTCTCCCATGCAGGTGCAGGGTCCCAAGGCATTGGGCTGTCCTCACAAATAGGGAGCTGCATGGGAAGCAGAGCAGCCAGGGTGCACCAGCTGGTGTCCATATGCAGTGTGTTTGGAGGTGGAGGATTAGCCAATCGAGCCATTGTGCTTGGGCCACACTAGTTTGTTTGACACTTAAGTGATCAATGAAGTTACTTTAGTGATAGAAAAGTTTGTTTTAGCAGCTGTCCCTTTTTAATATGTCCTCCTGTATTTATGTAATAGATTAGTAGTTATCAGTAAATTTCATGTGTAATTGGTATCTCAGTGATCTAATTTTCTTGTTACACAGGCTGCTTTTGTCAGAGATGTTTTATTGCCAGGAGAATGGGATGTATGTGTAACATCTTATGAAATGCTTATCAAGGAAAAATCTGTGTTCAAAAAATTTAATTGGAGATACTTAGTTATAGATGAAGCTCACAGGATCAAAAATGAAAAATCTAAGGTAATTCAGTATTTAAAAGTTCTCATATTTAAGAATTGGATTAGTTTGCGTTTATATTGTAATCATGTGTCTTGGCTATTTCCTTTCAGTTGTCAGAAATAGTGAGGGAATTCAAGACTACAAATCGATTGTTGTTAACTGGAACGCCACTGCAGAACAACTTGCATGAACTTTGGTCACTTCTTAATTTTTTGCTGCCAGATGTGTTTAATTCAGCAGATGTAAGTTTTTTCTTGATTGATAACATTTTCTGTAATGGCTGTGTATTTCAGTAATAGAAGCGGCTTGCCTTTCAACTCTGCTTCGAAAAATCATTTTTCATGCTTTAGTGTTAGTCTGAGGTAGCCTAAATTATCTCTGCGTTCTGAGAATTTATTTTTGGATGTTTGGTTTCCACCTTCTTTCAAATCACTGATTTCTCGACCTAGAGTGACAAAGCTTATCAGTCCTCTTTGATAGGTCAGCTAACTTTATTCCGTGTTTTCAATATATTGTGTAAAAGTATTTTTGAAGTGAATTTTTGTTTCAAATTGCATGTTTAAATTTAAAAGATAGCATTCAAATGTGAAATCTGTATAGCCATTCTTACATTATGATTTAACTCTAATGACTAATTTTTATACATGGAGAGATTATTTGCAGTCTTAGAAGTAGTAGCAGTGGTTAAATAGCTATATGAACCATTAGTTGTATTGCTTCTCAGCCTTTTGGGTAAGATCAAGTGTATGAACCATTAGTTGTACCTTAAACATAATATGTATGTCTAAAGTGGTGTTGGGTGTGTATTTGCAGGATTTTCTTTGGTGGACCAAAGTTCATTTTTGAATCTTTTCTTCCCGTAACTGGAGTGGGGCTTGGGCTTCAAAGAACTCCATGTTGTTAAGTACACTTATGCAAATGGAATTCTGAAAAATAGTCTCTTGGGGTATAGTGTTGAAGATCATATTAAAATAATATGAGTGGGAAGTCCTTGTTATAAAAGATTTACTCAAACTCTGAATGCAGTTTTCATTTTTATGTATTTTGACAATATAGAGTTTCTGCAGTAATACATGTTTAATCTTTGTTATAACTTTGTTTTAGTGTTTTAATATCAGTGTCACTTAGTTTCATTAGAATTGACATTCTTCTGGAAACCTTGGATTTGAGTGAGTGGGTCATAAACAAATTATAATGTAACTTTCTGTGTTTTTGAGCTTTTATGAACATCAGGAAGGATGCTTTTCGAGAATTTTTGTTATCTACTGTTTCTAAGACATCCTTTAAGGTTTTTTTTTTTTTTTCTTATGATTTATTTTTATTGGAAAGTCAGATTTATAGAGTGAAAGTAGAGACAGAAAGATCTGCCGTCTGCTGGTTCACTCCCCAAGCGGCTGCAGTGGCTGGGGCAGAGCATGTCTGAAGCCTGGAGCTTCTTTAGTCTCCCATGCGGGTGCAGGGTCCCAAGGCTGTGGGCCATCTTCAGCTGCTTTTCCCAGGCTACAAGCAGGGAGCTGAAAGGGAAGCAGAGCAACCAGGATATGAACTGGCACTCACATGGGATTCTGGCCAGGACTTTAGCCACTAGGCTACTGTTCCAGGCCCAGGTTTTTTTTTTTTTTTAATTTAAGGAATTAATACTTTGTTATTCTCAAGGTCACAGCAAATGAATAATCACTACGACAGAATTTTTATCCATTCTCGTGTTACTCTGATATTACAAAGATAACTGATTCAGTACAGTTCACAGATACATTTTAGAGACTAAGGATAGTCTCTTCCTTCATTTTTATTTTTTAAGATAACATTTTAATTGATTTGCATTCTAATTAAATAATTCAACAACTAAAATATCAGAAAACCCTAGTTGTGTGGGAATATAGGCAAGTGCCATAAACCATCAAGTGAAACTATGACCATTTCACTCACTAGACAGTAAATTTAAAAATAATTATGTATCATTACAAGCTATGGTAATATATCTTTCTTAAACATTGTTGCTTTGGTAAAGATATAAAATGAAGTTGAATCAACTATTTGCAGCAATACTTATACACACATATAGTTTTTTCAAAGATTTATTTACTTGAAAGGCAGAATTAGTGGAGTTGGGTGGTTTGTTCTCAATGGTTGCAACAATCTGGACTGGACCAGGCAGAAGCCACAAGCCAGAGTTCATCGGGGTGACAGGGTCCCAAGTTTATGGGCCATCTTCCACTATGTTGGTGCCTTAGTGGAGAGCTGGGTCAGAAGTAGAGTAGCTGGAGCTTGAACTGACACTCAGATGAGATGCCATTGTCACACTGGCTTACCTTGTTGCTTCACAATGCCAGCCCTGTGTTTTGTTTTTTCATTTCTTTCTTTCTTTCTTTTTTTTTTCTTAATTTTTAGCTCCCACATGTAAGTGAGAATGTGAGATGTGTAATAGTTCTGTTTGGCTTATTTCATGCAAGGTGATGTCTTCCATCATAATCAGTTTTTTTTTTTAATTTTGTAAATGATGGAATTGTACCCTTTTATAATAGTTAAAGTGATACTCCTTTGCATGTACATATACCACACTTTATTATTATTATTATTATTATTATTTTATTGGAAAGGCGGATATACAGAGAGGAGAGACAGAGAGGAAGATCTTCCGCCCGATGATTCATTCCCCAAGTGAGCGCAACGGCCGATGCTATGCGGAACCAAAGCCAGGAGCCTCTTCCGGGTCTCCCACGTGGGTGCAGGGTCCCAAAGCTTTGGGCCGTCCTCGACTGCTTTCCCAGGCCACAGGCAGGGAGCTGGAAGGGAAGTGGGGCTGCCGGGATAGAACCGGTGCCCATATGGGATCCCGGGCGTGCAAGGCGAGGACCTTAACCACTGCGCCATGGCGCCGGGCCCACCACACTTTTTTTTAATAGGTGATATTCAAATATTGTTTTTTTAATATTTATTTACTTTTATCAGATTTAGTCAGATTTCCAGAGAGAAGGAGAGAAAGAAAGATCTTCCAACTGCTGGTTCACTCCCCAAGTGGCTGCAATGGTTAGAGCCATACTGATCTGAAGCCAGGAGCCAGGAGCTTCTTCCAAGTCTCCCAAGCAGATTCAGGGGCCTAAAGCTTTGGGTCATTCTCTACTGTTTTCCTACGCCACAAGCAGGGAGCTAGAAGGGAAATGGAACAGCCGGGATAAGAAGCTTTGCTCATATGGGATTCCAGCGCATGGAATGCAAAGACTTAAGCCACTAGACTACCATGCTGGACTCACCACCATTTTTTTTTATCCGTATGAACTCTTTGGTTGATTGAATATTTTAGCTATCATTTCCAACTTTTTAATGGAAACATCATGCTGATATTTTTTGTTTAAAATATTTATTTTTATTGGAAAGACAGTTACAGAGAGAGGAGGAGGGATAGAGATGTTCCATCTGCTTATTTACTCTCCAAATGGTCACAACGCCTGGAGCTGAGCTGACCTGAAACCAGGAGCTTCTTTTGGTTCCCTTTGGGTATAGGGGCCCAAGAACTTAGGCCAGCCTCTGCTGCTTTGCCAGGATGTAAGCAGGGAGCTTAATGGAATTGGAGCATCTGGTACTCAAAATGACCCCGATAGGGGGTGCTGGTACCAAAGGCAGAGCTTGCTCTGCCAACACACTGGCTTCCCCACACTCATATAATAGCCCCCTAATATTGATATTTTTGAAAAAAATACTTAAATTGTATGCCTAAAGGACTTGTTGAAATTAGTGGCAGTGACACATGAAAACATAGACTTAGCATAAATGAGTTGTGGATCAGAACATAAATACATTGGTTATGGAAATTGGAGTTGTAACTATATTATACAGTATTTAAGATATTGTTATTTGTTAATCTAGGACTTTGATTCCTGGTTTGATACAAACAACTGCCTTGGGGATCAGAAGCTAGTTGAAAGACTTCATATGGTAAGTATATGAAGAAGTGTTTAAAGTATATGTATGTTTTCAAATTTATTTTTATTGGAAAGGCAGATACATAGAGAGGAGGAGATACAGAAAGATCTTCCATCTGCTGATAACAAGTGGTAGCCAATGGCTGGAGTTGCGCCGATCAGAAGGATCACAAGTCAGGAGCTGCTTTCAAGTCTCCCACGCAGGTGCAGGATCCCAAGGCTTTGGGTTGTCCTCGACTGTTTTCCAAGGCCACAAGCAGGGATTTAGAAGGGAAGTAGAGCAGCCGAGATACGAAGTGGAACCCATATGGAATCCTGGCACATGCAAGGCAAGAATTTTAGCCACCAGGCTGTTGTGCCCAGGCCCTTAAGTATTCTTTTTTTTTTTTGAAAAATTATTTATTTGAAAGGCAGAGTTATAGATAGGTAGCACACACTGGATTTTTGATCACTCTGCAGATGATTGCAGTGGCTGCATCTCGGTCAGGTGGAAGTCAGGAACCTGGAACTTATCTGGGTTTCCCACATGGGTCGCAGGAGCCCAAGCACTTGGGCCACCTTCTAGTGCTTTCCTGGGCACATTAGCAGGGAGCTGGATCAGAGTTGTGGCACCCGGAACTTAAACCAGTGCTTACATGGGATGCCAGTCTTTTAGGTGGTAACTTAACATTGTGTACCACTGCAGCAACACCCACCCTTGATTGGAACCTGGTGTAAGACACGGATATTAGACAGATTTTTATATATTGAGATTTTTTTAAAAAATATACAGAGGTTATAATTTCTTGGACACATTTGACTCATTTAGACAGCTAAATATTTGATTTTGATTTAGGTGGAAAAGCAGGCAGAGGAGTTTGATGTTTCTTTTTGCATTTTTCTCTTAATTCTGTGCTGTTGATTTTTTTCTTTAGTAAAAGGATATTTGCATGTAGATGAAGCAAATAAGCAACCCACATAACAGAATCAAGCAGTTTTTTTCTTTTAAAGATTTGTTTATTTTTATTTGGAAGGCAGATTTACAGTGAGAGAAGGAATGAAAAAGATCTGCTGTTTTACCCACTCCAAAAGACCCTAACAAGTGGAGCCTGGGTCAGGTTGAAGATAGGAGCTTGGAGTTTTTTCTGGATCTCCTAAGTGGTACTGGGGCCCAAGCATTTGGGACATCCTTTGCTGCTTTCCCAGGCATGTAAACAGTGCCCCAGGGATTGTCATGCCAGGACACAAAGATCTGGGATATTCTGCTTCTCAATATAAATGACTTGTGATAATCCAAGGCAGATTAAGGTGTCATGAGGGAGCTTAGGCATTAAACTACATAATTACCAGTTTTTTAATGCTGCCAAACAACACCCTCAAGGTCCTCCTCCACATACATGTTAATAGCTAGTACATAATTTAATAATAAATCCAGAGTTTAAGGATTGACTGCATAGTTTCTTCATCAGTTTTATCTGGGTTTATCCAGCTGCATTTAGCTGGGAACTTGCATATTGCAGCAAGTGGGGCAGAGGTCTTAATGCACCTAGTGGTTGTTGATGCCTGTGGACTACAACTGAAGTTCTCTTACGTAGTGTTAACAAACATTTCGCTGATTTTTTTTCTTGTGAGTTTTTAATTTATTTTGTGATACACCTGTTATGTTTATAAAGCAATGTAAGAATATAACAAAAAGAACAAAGAATGGTACAAATTAGGAAAAAACATTTAAAATGCAACACAAATTTCAAAAACATGTTGAATAAAGAAAATGGATATAAATGAGTGTATATTGAATGACTTTGTGTGTGTTAAGTTAAAAATTATAGGCTAAAGTAGTATATTGTGTTCGAAGCTATGTATGTTGTTTACCAGCCCAGTGCAGTGGCTGAGTGGACAAATCCTACTAGCCTTGTGTGCACTAGCATCCCATATGGGTGCTGGTACAAGTTCTGGCTGCTCCACTTCCCATCTAGCTCCCTGCTTCTGGCCTGGGAAGGCAGTAGAGAATGGCCCAAAGCCTTGGGATCCTGCATGCATGTGGCCTTCCAGTAAAAACGAGTAAATTGGGGGGGAAAAAAAGTTTACCCTTAAGGAAAAGGAGGAGGATTGGTGACTAGGAGTGACTCAAGAAAGATTTCTAAGGTGGTTAGGTTTAACTAGATACTAGTTATGTTTACTTGGTGAAAATTTGATAAATTACACCTGTAATTTGTATTTGCCTTCATAATTAAGCATTGTTTCATAGATTGTTTTTCACAAAATCTTTCATACAATTTTCACAAATTTCATAAATTAAGTATTTCGTAAAGTATTGCCTGCTTTCATAAATTGATAGTAAATTTAAAAGGTAGCCACAAAAATATTTATTTGGAAGCAGCCATTCTTTAAGCAGCGTCAGTCTGTATGTAAGTGGCTAGTTTTAAACTTGAAGGATGATAAATACTGAACATACCATCATTAAAATTTATTGTGTCCTTTAGTGTTTTATGAGAGCATAGCAAATTATTCTCATCACATATTGAATAAATTTTATTATTGCTCTTTAGAAATCTTAGTTGTAAACTATATTTGGAAAGGAAAACTCCTGAAACTGGCTTGATACTCAAGCAGAAAGAGTGTTTTAAAAATATATTTACTAAATAATTTAAAAATGATACCAGTATCAGAGGTAAGGATTTCTTTTTCTTTTTAAGGTTTTGCGTCCATTTCTCCTCCGGCGAATCAAGGCTGATGTTGAAAAGAGTTTGCCCCCGAAGAAGGAAGTAAAGATCTATGTGGGTCTTAGCAAAATGCAAAGGGAATGGTATGTATTCTGAGATGTGTTGGATTTCATTCAGATTTTCTTCTAAATTTCATTTGTGCAGTGGTTTGTTTTCCTAATTTGTATTTTCGAGAAATTCTTGTTTGCTGAATTGAAATCAACTAACTGGCCAAGAATTTTCTACCCATGTAATTGAAGACCAGCCCAGCAAATGTATGGTACAAAGTCTTGAGCTTTCAGATGGCAGGTTAAGGATGAAGGATAATCCAAAAATTAAATTTGGTGTTTAAACAGAGTTGCATGTAAAACCCTTTGAATTTTTTGTTAGTTTTGTTGTGGTAAAACAAAACTGACAAATTGTGAGTCATGGAATAGTGCTAGCCTCTGTTGCAGTAGATTGTGAAGTGTGAAAATACATGTTCTCTTACTCCTTATTGCTGTATTTATCAGTTGAAAAGGTTCTCCATTCTAGAGGGTTTTTTGGCAGATAAAATGTTCTTTCTAAAATGGTGGTGATGATACATGGCAGGTTTTTTTTCCCTCTCTTTTTAAAGACTTAGTTTGTTTTTGTTGGAAAGACATCAGATGTACAGAGAAGGAGACAAAGATCTTCCTCCTTCACTCCCCAGGTGGCCACAATTTTCAGAGCTGACCCAATCCAAAGCTGATCAGGAGCTTCTTCTGGGTCGGCCATGTGGGTGCAGGGTCCCAAGGCTTTGTTTGACCCTCTATTGCTTTCCCAGTCCGCAGGCAGGGAGCTGGAAGGGAAGTGGAGCTCTGAGACATGAACTGGCGCCCATAATAAGATCTTGACACTTGTAAAGCGAGAAGTGAACCACTGAGCCATTACACCAAGCCCATGGAAGCCCATGGTAGCTCCTTTTGAAAACACAGGGCATTTGAAAACATAGGGCAAAGTTATGTTGAAAAACTGACTAGTTTTTATAGTTAATTGCTAAAATATGTTTTTTTCACAGATTTTTTTGGATGTCTGAAATTTGAAAGGCTAGAAACCATTGATTTAGTGCTTTTTTGGGAGAAAAAAGGCTAATATGAATTAGCAATGGAAGTAGATACAATTAAATGAAACTTATCTTGATATATTTTAACAAAAGTGTTCTATTCAAAGAAGGGAAATAGAGCCTGTTTTGGTGTCCTCATCATATCAGGTGTATTCAGTTCCGTATTTTGTTTTCTCAAGTGGCTGCAGTGGCTGGAGCTGAGCCGACCCTAAGTCAGGAGCTTCTTCTGGCTCTCCCACTTGGGGTGCAGGGTCCCAAGGCTTTGGGCTGTCCTCTTGCTTTCTCTGGGCACAAGCAAGTGCTGGATGGGAAGTCTACGTGCTGGGACACGAACTGGTGCCCACATACGAATAGCCCAATTCTTTTTAAAAAAAGATTCATTTATTTGAGTAGAAGAGTTACAGAGAGAGGAGAGTGGAGATAAAGTTCTTCCTTCTGCTGATTCACTCCACAAAAGTCGGCAACAACTGACCCTCTGTCAGGCTGACGCCGGTAGCCAAGAGCTTTGTCTGGGTCACTCATGTGAGTGCAGGATCCCCAGGACTTGGGCCATCCTCTGCTGTCTTCTCAGTTTAATCAGCAGAAAGCTGATTGGGAAATGGAGGAGCTAGAACCTGAACCTGGACCCATATGGGATGTCAAGGTTGCAGGCTGTGGCTTAACCTGATATGTATGCCACTACACCAATCCTAAAATGGGAGCTGTTTGTTCCTCTTCCTTTCGCTTATTCTTAAAAACAAAGGAACTGATAGGCAGTACCCAAGGTATGAATGTCAGTATTAGGAGCACTGAACAATAAAGAAGGAAAAACGTGGCTAAAAATGTTAACTTTTAGAATCACCAAAAAGCTTTTAGATTGTTTCTGACAAGTGGCTGAGATGGGGAGGGGTGTATCTGGGATTGGTTAGAGATTATTTTCCCTTAAAATAATTTTCTTCTTATAGGTATACTCGGATATTAATGAAGGATATAGACATTCTAAATTCAGCAGGGAAGATGGACAAAATGAGGTTATTGAACATCCTGATGCAGTTGAGAAAATGCTGTAATCATCCATATCTCTTTGATGGAGCTGAGCCTGGTCCACCTTATACAACAGATATGCATCTAGTTACCAACAGTGGCAAAATGGTTGTGTTAGACAAACTTCTCCCTAAATTAAAGGAACAAGGTATTTGTTGCTGGTATCTAATTGAAAAATAATGAAAACATTAAACAAGAGAGTGGTGTGTGTGGAGATGACTGCTCTTGACATGTTCTAGTGTTGGAATGTGAAAGATTAGGAAAGTCTTATCCTAGCTGAGCTTACTGCCTCTCCCAGCCCTAATGTTAGGCCTGCTAACTTTTGGAACCATTAAAGTTGAAATTTATTCAGCTAGTCAAACTGAGGATTTAAGCCCAGAAACAGCCCGTCATTGTTAGAACTGGCTGTTTTTCAGGCCTACTTCTGAATACATGATTTATACTTCTGTCACAGGGTAAGTACATGGCATTGAATCAGATTCATGCAATTCAGATTTACACAGTTATAAGTCATATTGAAAGTCAGAGAATAACTCACTGAAAATTGAAGAACACTTGGTGGCAGCTGTCAGGCTGTATTATTGACTAAGGACGTACATAGCATCCCCATGCTCCAGCCACATGGGTGGTTATCTCTATGCAGGGAGAGGCAGCCAGTGGTGGTGTTTTTGTAATTCTGCAACAGTCCATTCTTTGGTACATGTTTGCTTGTTCCTTGCTCAGATGAGATTTATTGTAAAGTCCTATTACCTAGAAGCAGTTGCAGGGCATCTCCACTGCAAGGACTGCATCTTGCTTCTCTTCAAGTCCAAGGCCTTAGTCTCTTAGAAAGTGAGTAGGAAATAAAACAGCCACACCTCCCATATTTGAGAGTCACATTTTATATATGCTTTTCTAGGAATATCAGCTTTTTGTCATAAAATGCCAAGAATGCTTCTCTTGTTCAGAGTTCCCAGGTCACTTGTTAGGAGAGTATTTCAAGTACCCTCATGGGTACCATGGAAATTCATGGAAAGTAGAATTTACAGAGGGTTTTTAGTGTGCAGATTTTGAAACCCATGTGTAAGCACTATTTTTCAAATGATCCCTTTTTGTCTTTATGCATTGTACTCAAGGTGTTGTTCAACTACATAAATGGAACACATGTGATTTGAATGCTGGCAGATAAAAGAAGGATGATCAATGTAGAATCAAGGCATACATGTATGATACTTCAAATAGGAGTGGATTTTCAGAACAGGAATGACACTAGGGGTATGGAGTTGGATGGTGGTGAATGTGAGTTAGTTATATGTTGGTAAGAGTTGTTGAGTGAAGAAAAGTTATTTTAAAATATGTAAAGTGCCACAGAAAATCATGGTCTGACATTTTATAAATCCATGCATAGTTTCTTCATAATACATACTTTATGAACTTTTAAGATATGTAGGATAACAACATAATGATTGTTCCAGTCTTGGAATGGCAAGACCTGTTTTACCAGGGGAAACACTTTTCTGCTTACCCTAGTATGCTGTATAAATACTGTTGTATCTGTGCCATGATGAGAGTGCTGGAAAGTGATTGATTTGGATAATTAATAATGTGGACTCTGTCTTGGCTATAGATACCTTGGAATTGAGGAATAATAGGTTAATCTTAGTGCTTTCTAGTTTTAAAGTTTTAAGTACATCTTTGTTTTGAAACCTGTAATACCAAACTATTATATTCACCCAACAGGTTCACGAGTGCTAATCTTCAGTCAGATGACAAGGGTATTGGACATTTTGGAAGATTATTGCATGTGGAGAAATTATGAGTATTGCAGGTTGGATGGGCAGACGCCCCATGATGAGAGACAAGTGAGTGAAATCTTGGGATGATAATGATTTATTTAAAATCAATTCAAATGTCTGACATTCATTTTATTTGTATTGTAGGATTCCATTAATGCATACAATGAACCAAACAGCACAAAATTTGTTTTCATGTTAAGCACACGTGCTGGTGGTCTTGGCATCAATCTTGCTACAGCTGATGTAGTAATTTTGTATGATTCAGATTGGAATCCTCAAGTAGATCTTCAGGCTATGGTAAGAATAATAAATACATTCTGTGCTTAGTTGCTTTTAATATAGAAAAAGCTGATTCTACAGATAACTTGATATAGTATAATTTTATTTTTGTTTTACCTGGTGTGAGGATTTTTTTGAAGACATCTTTAACTAAGATATGCCTACCGATGGTTTAAGTGTGATTCTTACTGGTACAAGGGGACAGAGATTTGATGATTGTCAGGAAATTTTACTGAGCCATATTTGGAAGTATTCCCAGAATTACTACTGAGAGCATAGATCACATATGATTATAAGGGTAAATTACAGTTAAATTGTGTCCCAAAAGGTAAGGGAAGTGGTTTCAGTATTGCCTGTTTTAAGATTGCCATGTTTTAAGATTTATCTGAAAGGCAAAAGACGGAAGAAGAGAGAGGGAAGAAGATTTCAGTTTGCTGGTTTACTTTACAAATGACTTGAAGTAGCTGGAGATGGGTCTTGGCTTCTGCCTGGCCCATTCTGGTCTCTCCTGTGGGCGACAGGGGCTATCACTTCACCACTGTTGTCTTAGGTAGCAGTGCTTTAGTAGGAAGCTGGCCTGGAAACAGAGCAGCAGATGTTAGAAACTGGCGTTTGTGTAGGAGATGTATATAGAGGATATTGTTTTGTAAGTGTTGGCTCAACCCACCATGTCTTGCCATTTTAGGTTCTTAAAATTTTTGTTCTGTAAGGAACTATGGATAGATTAGAAAGATAGCTCTTACATTGAGGACTTTATGATCTGTAGGTTAATATAAAAGCTTGTAGATTCTTGATGCTGCTAATGACTTGATCCATGATAGTGGTTTCCAGATATCCAGTTTTGTTAAACTTCTAGCATCATTCATTTTCGTCCTGTAGTCCTTGTAAAAGTAACTAGTGAAAATTGATGAATTTTGAGATGTTTTGGATAGTGGTGTTAAATTTTTGGATAGTGGTGTTAAATTTTTCACCACAGGTGTTAACTGATAATGCTTAAAGACTTAAATTTTTGTTTACATTGCATGTGAAATCCAATTTTTTGAATAACTTCTATAATAGCAATGTAAATTAGGATTTAATTTAGATAGGAAAACATTTTGAATTGAAATCCAAGTAAAAGATTTCATCTGATTTTTATTGTCTAGAAACTTGCTTATCTTCATCTGATGATTTTTCGTAGATCTGGTGGCTACGTAACCTATTTTTTTTTTGAGCCCATTTGATTTGGACAGTTTAAGAAATGTTGAAATAATATGTATCTATTATATCTTCTCAAATAATTTATTGGATATTTTAGTTTTGTTAGTTATACCCATTCGAATATTAAAGTGACTTTGACCATGTACAAAATAACATGATTTACTTAGGACCGAGCTCATAGAATTGGACAAACCAAGACAGTCCGAGTGTTCCGCTTCATAACTGATAACACTGTGGAAGAAAGAATAGTAGAACGAGCCGAGATGAAGCTCAGGCTAGACTCAATAGTCATTCAACAAGGTGAGCTGGGGGACTTCACCAATTTACTAGGTTGGGTGATAGAGTTTGTTTTTATTTTAACAATTTTTAAATTTGATTGTTACCATGTATTAGAGTTGGACTCTCATAGCCAACAAAGATGACTTTTATTCTAGAGAAACAACTTTTCATTTTCACATTAAGAAGTTGCGTTATGGGTGCCAGTTCTGATCCTGGATGCCCCACTTCCCATCCAGCACCCTACTTGTGGTCTGGGAAAAGAGTCAAAGATGGCCCAAAGCCTTGGAACTCTGCACCTGCATGGGAGACCTTGGAAGAGGCTCTGGGCTCCTGGTTTCAGAATTGGTGCAGCTCTGGTCTTTGTGGCTGCTTGGGGAGTGAATCATTGGATGGAAGAGCTTTCTTTCTGTCTTTCCTCCTCTCTGTATATCTGACTTTATAGTAAAAATAAAACAAATCATTTTTTAAAAAGTTGGGCTTTGGGATTAGGAAAGTTGAAGCTTGAATATTGGCCTAACCAGTTACCTTTCAAAACTTGATTCTTTTGCTTCATCTATTAAAATGGAGCTGAAATAATTGCTGTTGGATTTTTTAAGGATCAAAATGTTATAAACATGTGACTATTCTGGGCGATAAGACTTTATAAAGGGGTGCTGGCTCTAACTTCACGCACCTGTGAGTATTCCGTTCGCTACTGAAAAAAAATCAGTCAGGAAATCTGGCTTCATTATTTTTTCTTATCTGCAACTTTCATTGCCCACTTATCAGATACCAGGCTTTGTTTCTGGATCTCAGGACAATGTTTCTTTGAATAAATTTGCAGTGTAGTGGAAGGGGTCACCAAATAAACAATTAAAAATAGGACTTCCAGATGAGAACAGTGGGATTTTTATTTTGGATTGGTTGAATATACTTCAGTCATTGCAGAACCATTTTTTTTTAATTAACTGTTTATTTATATAATTTTAAACTCAGAATTACAGAGAGATCTTCCATCCCCTGGTTCACTCTTTATTCCCCAAATGGCCTCAGTGGCTTCGCTGACACCAGAAGATAAGAGTTTCATCTGTTCCTCCTGTATGGGTGTAGGGCCCCAAGCACTAAGGCCCTCTGTTGCTGCTCTTCCAGGCGCCTTAGAAGGGGGCTGGATTGGAAGTGGAACAGTGGGGGCTTGAACTTTTGTTCCTGTAAAACATACGCAGGCTGCAGACAGAAGCTTAACTTGCTATACCATATCATTAGCCCCTGTAAGATCAGTTTTTTTTTTTTTTAAGATCAGTTTTAGAGGAAGGCATAATTTCTTCCAAGTTAAAAGACAAACATTTGGTTCTGTGAATCAGAAGGTTTTCAGAAATTAATGCTGCACAGTTCAGTTCTTTATGAAATTTGGTGATATGAAATCTTTTGTACTGAAGAATCTGATTTTGTAATATTAGAAATAAGTCCACATATCAGAAACCTTATTTATATGCACATTGGTTGTAACCTGTGGGTTTTAAAATTGTGTGCAAATTTTTACTTTCAAATGTCCCCAAATTACTGTTTACCACACCACACAGAACAGTGTTCTATACTGAAATAGGACACAGTTGGCTGCTTTACTCAATATGTAACCTTCAGTAATATTTGAGAGCTTACCTGATGAAGATTGTAATCGTGTAGAAATTGAATGGTTTGATAAAGAATAATGATTTTAAAGACAATTATAACATTAAAACTACAAAATTTCAGTTTTCCAGTAGAATACAGTTTGCTCGATTAATATCATGCAACATAATTTTTTTTTTCAGGAAGACTTGTGGATCAGAATCTGAACAAAATTGGGAAAGATGAGATGCTGCAGATGATTCGGCATGGGGCAACACATGTGTTTGCTTCAAAGGAGAGCGAGATTACTGATGAGGATATTGATGGTATTTTGGAAAGAGGTGCAAAGAAGGTGAGACGTAGATTAGGTGGTAGTACTTTTTATCTGAGTTATAAATAGGCTTAGTGGTGTGATGAGAAGCTTTTTCCTCTGTAGAATTCTCTCTCTCATTACTGATCTCATGCCCTTGGGTACTCAGATTGACCAAGGTGTTCCTTTGTTCTCTAGACTGCAGAGATGAATGAGAAACTCTCCAAGATGGGTGAAAGCTCACTTCGAAATTTTACAATGGATACAGAATCGAGTGTTTATAATTTTGAAGGAGAAGATTATAGAGAAAAGCAAAAGGTATTTAGGAACCTTGGATAATGAAAATCTTCATTTCACTGGAAGCTTAGAATTTTAAGTGTTGGATATTATGCTTTGTAATTTTGTCTCAAGTAGAAATATTTATATATGAATATTTTAATTATGTATAATGCTTTTAATTTGATGCTCTGAAATGTTTTTAAAGTTTATGTAATGAAGTTCAGTACATACTGTTAAGAGTAAAATATTTTTTTCTGTGTCTGAATACAGTGATTTGTGATGTGAAAATGAAAATAATTGGCAAAAAAAAAACCCCCATAAAATAGATAGTATAAAGAAATAAATTGTTTCTTGTTTACCTTATTAACTTTTGGATAGATGCAGGTTTTAAATGCTCATGTTCAAAGGTATTTTTTATACCTATTTTAAAAAGTTTTGCTTGGATTTTAAAATTTGCACCAAAATAAGCTTTGTTTTACTACAAAGTTTTTGTAATGCTCCTAACAATTTTTGTAAGTGCTGAAAATATCTCCATTTTTCTTGGATTGTACCACACATGCTGTAGCATTTCACTTTTTTTTTTCCTCTCCATAGGGGACCCAATTTCGTTTACTTTTTCTTTTTTTAATTTTGAATTTTATGGTACTATTCCATAGAGTCTGGGATTCCTGCAGTCCCGCAAATTCCCACCCCCTTTTTGGTTTTCCCCATAGTTACAATAGTATAGTCCTTCATGAGGAGTTATAATTCCATCAGTCTGTTATTTGCGTGTGCCCAACATTGCTGGTAGACAATGTCAGACAATCCAGCATCCCACAGTGTTTCATATCACAGTATTTTTAGTTTGGACAAGAAATAGTTACTGAATGCCTATGCTGTTTATTGGATGCTTTCCTATGTATTAATTGCTTGGTATGGACCAAATTAAAGATGACCAGAGCACCATACAGTTTGCAGTCCAGGAAGGTTTTAGTATGTTAGTTTTACAAGTATTACTGTTAATGAATTTTTGCTTTAAATTGTTTCCCACATGCTAGATTGCATTCACAGAGTGGATTGAACCACCTAAACGAGAAAGGAAAGCCAACTATGCTGTTGATGCATATTTCAGGGAAGCTCTTCGTGTTAGTGAACCAAAAGCTCCCAAGGTGAGTTGGCATAGCACAAAAAGCAACTAAAAATAATGAGACTGGAAATTATTATTTCTCATGTTCTATAACAAATTTGATTAAAGTCAGATCATCTTAATTGAAAGGTACATCTGATTGCTTGGAGAATTGGCATAGTTGTATCAAATGAGGACTGAGTAGATTGAAAGTGGAATTTCTTTCTGATGGTTATAATCTCTTCTTTTTTTTTTCTGTCAGGCTCCTCGACCTCCAAAACAGCCCAACGTTCAGGATTTTCAATTCTTTCCCCCACGTTTGTTTGAATTACTGGAAAAAGAAATTCTGTATTACAGGAAGACTATTGGGTACAAGGTAAGAGAAGGTCTCCACTTTCTGTCCTTCAGTGGAGGGACGATAAAAACACTATTTAATTTGAGCCTAATTGGGAAAAGAGTGTTGGTTTACTCTATCCTTGTCGTAAATGTTCAGTTCATAAAGTTGAATCTGTTAAGTTTTAAAAAGAAAAACTTTGTGAATAACTATCCGGTTTTTAAAAGATGTAAGAAATGCATGATATCAGTGTTTCCTTTAATGGTTGAATTGGACCTTGCAAAGTGTCAATTAGTTTATTAGGAATTTGGTTCATTACATAATCTTAAAATTAACTGACTGATTGCATAGAAAAACATCTTCTAGGTACCTCGAAGTCCTGACCTGCCAAATGCAGCACAGGCACAGAAAGAAGAACAACTTAAAATTGATGAAGCTGAACCCTTGAATGATGAAGAGTTGGAAGAAAAAGAGAAGCTTCTAACACAGGTATATAGCCTTCAGTCAGTACAAAATTTATTAACGGTTAATTTATTAAAACAAAGCATTTTATGAAAAGTACTTGGGTTGAGTAGATGTCATAAAAGGCATGTTTCTGCTTTCAAAGATGACATTGGAGTAAGTGAGGCCTGGGTAGTTGGAGGCATGTTTATATTGTCATTAGCTGCTAGGGTATTTGAGAAGATTTTGACACCTTACTTGTTGGTATTTTCTGTTTTTCCTTTGAATCTTCCCCATTACTGCCACATTGCCATTGTTAATCATAAGTTTCAGTTTATTACTTTCTCAATATCCTTCTGGGTTAATTCATGACTTTCTGGTACTTGATCTTTAACCTTGCATCATTTTCTCATTTTTTTTTTAAACTTCATGTTATTCAGTTCATTTTCCTTAGCATATTTTACTTGCCTGGAAACCTCAGAAAATCATTTGGAGCTCAGCAAAAATGTCTCCTTTTCATGTTGCACTTGTTACCGTCAGACACATTTAGTTGTTGGGACATCTAAGCAGTAATGTAGATATGTTGCTAATGCACACCTATGTACATGAAGTTACCACTAAAAGTTAAAAACAGACTAGCTGAAATTAGAATTTTGTTTTCTGTAATATTTAGAATCATTAGTAAATTCTCATAGCATTTTTTTGGCCTAGCGTAATGTGCTGTAATTAATTTATTTCTGTTAATGTGAAGGGATTTACCAATTGGAATAAGAGAGATTTTAACCAGTTTATCAAAGCTAACGAGAAATGGGGTCGTGATGATATTGAAAATATAGCAAGAGAAGTAGAAGGAAAAACTCCAGAAGAAGTCATTGAATACTCAGGTAATTTCTAATTATTTTCATAGGTAAAAGATTGTTACGCTTTTGGAATTTAATGAGTAGTTGGACAAGTCATATCTTTTCTTACTTTGAATTATAAACTAAAAGTAAGTTGACTTTACAACCAATAACTCACTTTTGGTATTTAAAATTATTGCTTTGTAAAAAAACAACTATTTAAAAGGCAGAACTTCAGAGAGAGAGATCTTCCATGCTCTGGTTCACTCTCCAAATGACTACTATGGCCAGTGCTAAGCTAGGCCGAACCTAGGAGCCTGTAACTTCTCACAGGTCTCCCATGAGGTGGCAGGAGCCCAAGAATGTGGGCCATCTTTGCTGCCTTATCAGGCACATTGGCAGAGTATTGGACCTGATGGGATTGTGTCACAGGAGGCCGCTTAACTCAGTGCACCACAGTACCAGTCCATCTTAGTATTTTTTTAAACAGTGGAAAATGTCCTCTAAATTTGACATTTGCTTGTTTTGAAACCATATTTAACTGTAGTCTACAAAGTCAGAATCGATCGCTGAGAAGCTGTTTTCATCTCTATTTCTCTATAACTGCTCAAATTGTTAGTTTTCTTTGTCTTCATGAAGTAAGTTGCATTGCCAGGTTGAATATGTATGGTTAGGTTGAGCTGAGTTTGCTTAGACTTTTAGAATAGTAGAAATAGTTAGAAGTTATCTTTAGTCATCCCATTCAGTTCATTTTCTACATTTAAGGGAACTTGAGAAATTGTATGACTTAATTTCTATTATTAAATATAGGATAAGTGAAAATGTTTAATTCTTTACAAATAAACTATAGCAATATATGCCAGCATATTACAATATTTTATCCTCTCCATCCATTCCCTGTAACCCAACTTCCACTGTTCTACAGCTGTGTTCTGGGAAAGATGCAATGAACTTCAGGACATAGAGAAAATTATGGCTCAGATTGAAAGGGGAGAGGCAAGAATTCAGAGAAGAATAAGTATCAAAAAAGCACTTGATACAAAGGTAACTTGTGTATTAATAAATGCAATTATTAAGTAAATGGTAAATTGTAAAGTAAATATGTGAGTTAAATAAACTTTTTTCAAGAAAAAAAAATTTTTTTCTAACAAAATTGCTTAACCTTTACAGACATTGTCAGTAGAGTATGTTAGACTGGCAACATCTGGGTCCGAGGCACAGGATTCTAAGACTATTTCTGTTACCATTATAATATAAAAGACTATAAATATCTTTTAGGACAAAGGTATTAAGTAATGTAATTGAAGCATTATAGATAGAAAAATTTTACTAGAAATATAATAGTTAAATTCTGCTGAAGCTGAGCTTGAAATGCAGATTATAAAAGGGCTTGTATTAATAACCTAAAAACCTTGCTTTTTAATAGATTGGGCGATACAAAGCACCTTTTCATCAGCTGAGAATATCATATGGTACCAATAAAGGCAAGAACTACACCGAGGAAGAGGACCGTTTTCTGATTTGCATGCTTCACAAGCTTGGATTTGACAAGGAAAATGTTTATGATGAGTTGCGGCAGTGTATTCGAAATTCTCCTCAGTTCAGATTTGACTGGTTTCTAAAATCCAGAACCGCAATGGTGAGTGCTTATGCTCTTATTGTGTAAATATGTAAGATTGGATAAGTGTGTTCATCTTTGAAAACAATTGTGTGAGAAGCAAACAGACAAAACTCTTTGGTTTTAAATGTCCTCTTATACTTACTTTACTCACCATATACCCACACAGGCAGGACCTGATTGGTCCTCCCACATGAGTGAGTGGAACTTACCTGCATGAGCCAGATCTTAGTTCCCAGGGTCTACAGGGATAGAAAGTTAGAGTCAGGAGCTAGAGGCAGGGCTGGGTATTGGACCCAGGTATTCAGTGTAGAGCACAGATGTCTTGACTGGGGTTTTAACCTACAGGCTCAACACCTGCCTGTATTTCATACTTTTTAATTAAGGTGACCAAAAAAGTGTTTGGAAGTAGTGGCCAATGCTGTGGCACAGTAGGTTAATCTGCCACTTGTATTCTATAAAGTATTTTAGAATGATGGTTTTGTCTATGTGTCATGTGCATTTGCTTTGTAAGGAAAGGAGCTGCTAGCCAACTGTGATGTGAAAGACCTGCTGTTTACTTTAGGGTTATTTTACTATTTCCACATTATGCTTTAAAATCCTTCTGCCATGATGGACTTACAACCCTTTGAAGGACTATACTGTCATAATTACATAGGGGAGGGAATCCCAGAGCATATGGAACTGTGTCATAAAATAAAAATAAATAGATACAAAAAAAAAAATCCTCTGGAGCCTACGTAGATTGCTGGTAAGAGATAAGAACTCACTGTTGACAACTGTTTTTCAAATTTGGGAACTGCGTGTGGTATGGCAGATACTGTAATTCTAGAGAAAATACTTGAATGGAAACAGTGCACACCTTAAAATTTTAGTTGATTCTGACCCTATTCTGTGCTATTCACTCAATTCTTAGACATCAAGCTGTAATTGCATTATGAGGTGTTCATTTTTACTGCTTTAATTCCTAAGTGAAGGAGAGGTTTATGAAAAATATATGCAATAGACTGCCTTTACAAAAATGAAGTAATAAATACATTGGCATTTTGTTTTCATTTTCTTTTTTTTTGTTTGTTTTTTGTTTTCATTTTCATAGTATAAAGTGTATCTAAAAATTCCTTGTTTTAATAAGAATATGATTTTTGTAGTACTTTGTTAAGGTGTACCTTTATTTCAAAATTGGAGTCACAAATTTGTAAATGAAAAGTACTAATTTACCATATAAATTGATTTATAACTCAGGAACTCCAGAGGAGGTGTAATACCTTGATTACATTGATTGAAAGAGAAAACATGGAACTAGAAGAAAAGGAGAAGGCAGAGAAAAAGAAACGAGGACCAAAGCCTGCAGTAAGTGTTCAGGGATATGTAAAGATTATGTAAACTATATTTTCCTTTGTAAATGTTTCAATATTACTAGGTTATCACTGATGTGTTCGGCATTTCCCCCTTTAACACAGTGATAATACATTTAAAAGTGTAAGTTTAAGTTGATTGCATTGTCTGGGGAAAGTAACATGATGGTAATCTATTAAGGGGAGTCATGACAATCCAGGAATTTATGTCTTGGGAATCAATACAAGTTACAGTTTTAGAATAAGGAACATTAGGAAAGCATTAACTTTGCAGCCTTTACTGCTAGCTTCTATGCTTTTACTTTTGGTCTGAATGGTCTTAGAGAAGTGAAGGCAAACATTTTAAAGGAAAGACTTATGTTTTAATAATATCTAATTTTGCAGGCATGATGAATGAATGTGTCCATATAACATACTGTATTTATATAATATCCTTTTAAAAATCCACAGTACATATACATTTAAAAGATTTATTTTTTGAGAGAGAGTTACAGAAAGGAGAGCCAGAGTTTTTAATTTCACTTTATCACTCCCCAGATGACTGTGGTAGCAAGGGATAGGGCAGGCCAACACCAGGAGCCAAGAACTTCACCCGTATTTCTCTCCCAGGTTATAGGCCTCAGATCATTTGGCCATACTCTGCTGCTTTTCCCGAGCTATTAGCCGGGAGCTGGATTAGTGGTGGAGCAGTGGGACTTGAACTGATGCTTGTATGTGATGCAGGCAGTGACTTTGCCCACTACACCATAATGCCGGCCCTACAAAATATTTCTTATTACCCATTCCCTTTGAGAAAAGACCTACTACATAATATTTTTATTGGATTAGTAAATAAATTATTCTGAAACATCATGGTTATTTTGAGAGATTGCCTAGTGTGGGAAGAACCTCATGCCTTAAATTTGAGAACATAGGATATTTGTCCTTTTGGGTTGGCATTTCACTGATTAGAGCCATTTTGTTGCAAATGGTAGAATTTTTTCCCCTTTTTTGTTCCTCCCCTCCCCCAAAGATGCTAGTTTTTTGAAAGGCAGATCAGATTAGTGGAAAGAAGGAGAGCAAAGATCTTCTACCTGTAGGCTCATTCCCCAAATGGCCACAATGGCTAGAGCTGAGCTGAATCAAAACCAGGAGCTTCTGGGTCTCGCACATGGGTTATAGGGTCCCCAGGCTGTGTAGCAGTTACTAAGTTCATACAAATGTTGTAATGTGATACTGTATTTCAAGTCTATATTTTGTCATAAAAACAATCTATCTTATCTATTTGTAGACACAGAAACGTAAAATGGATGGAGCACCTGATGGTCGAGGAAGGAAAAAGAAGCTGAAACTATGAATCCTTCTTTGTTTCATAATCACTAACCTTAAACCAGTAGTTCTTTAATTTACGGGTCTTCATAAGATGTACTGTACAATGCTCAATTGTCATGTCATTCAGACATCAGATCCATCTGTTTACTGAGCTAGAAACATAGATGGTAGTTTCTCTTTTTTAAATGCAACAGCTGTGCTGAGATTTTTTTATCATTAACACTTGAAAATAAAAATAGGCTTCATTTATTAATAAATGTTTCATTTGATTTATTTTTCTATAATAGCTCCATTTGTGAAGATTTGTGACTTTTGTTTATCAGCTGTAATTTCTACACTTGGCCAGACTTACAAACAAGCAAACAAGTTTAAAAAAAAAGGAAATTACAAATAACACAGCATTTATCTCTTCAGGTCTTCATTTAGTTGTGTAACTGTTTTAATTCACTTTGCCTTTGCAGAAATTTGGGTATTTTCTTTGTAGTGCTATGGAGTCTCTTCTGGGATGAAGATGTAAATTGCATTCTCCTTGCTTATTATGTGGGTAGAATGGGGGGAAAGCAAGAAAAATTATAATTGATTTTTATGCATATTTCTGTTACGCTTTCTGTTTCTATCTTTTGGTTCTGAAGTGAATATGCCATGTTCTGTTGGAACAGTGGCTTTTTAGTTGTATAGCCAAAGACATTTAGTATTTTCTGGTTCCTTAAGGTGTTATTGTACCATTTTGTAAAAGGAATATTGTTATTATTTTTTTTAATAATTTGGTAAATATTTTGACAAATGACCTTCTGAGGCAGCCACAACTTAGAAAGATTATGTCAGAACTAAGTTTTTTCTTTTTTTGAAAGACCCAACCAGAAAAAAAGGATGTGAATTTGTCATACTGTTAAATTGATTGGTATCAAAATATATCCTCTGCCAATTTATAATATTTTTGAGTTTTAGAGTAAATAAAGTTTTATTTTATTATATTTTAAGATAATTTGTAGGTGTTTGCAGCAAGACTGAGTATAATGCCAGCTTTTATTTTCTATGGAACAGATTTGATTAACTGGAGTCCCTGAAGCAGGAATACCCAAATTGTAGTGTCAGGATTTTAGCTGTACCAGGGGCCTTTATTGTGCTACACATAATTTGTATAAAGTTTTATATGTGCAAATTGGGTACATAAATAGTTCTCCATTTTTCTAAGGGAATGCAATAAATGTAGCATCGTGAATAAATATAACTTTTATAATCTTAAAAAGTGGTATTTTCTTTCTATTTCTTTCATTTTTTTCCTGATAATGACATTATCTGTTTACCTTTACTAAATCAGATATTTCCTCTCGACTTTCTGTTGTTTCCATTTTATCCACAAGAAACTGGGAAGTCACTTTTACTATTCTAGAAATGTGAAGCAAGATCAGTGTTATGTCAAGTTGTAGTATCATTTGAATTTATTCCCTGGTCCCAAAATAAGTTTTTAAGTAACATTGAATTGTTAACAGATAAAAAGAATAGTTAACCTTATTTGAGGAAAGTGTCTTAATTATGAGCTCATTTTGGAAGGAGTAATTGAGAAAAATTGAAGGCTGAGAACTTTGTGGAAGTCATAGCAATGGAATTAAGAGTAGTAGAAATTTCTAATGGGGATACAAATTGAGTTAAAATAGAGCTGGTGATAGGGCACTCAGATACAAAAGAAACAAATTCCTATGAAAATTGATATGTAAATTAAATATTACAATTTAGTCAATTCAAGACATGCTTGCATTTGATGAGGCATTAAAATTCCCTAAAAAGTCAGCTGTTCATTTGCCCTTCTGAAGGAAGAAACAACAGTGACTGCTCACTGTTTACTAAATCAGATTTTTAATTTTTAAAATTTTTTTGTTACAGGAGAAATTGATGGGAGGCTATTGAAATAATCAAAATTAAAAATTACCTGAGGAAGAAAAAGGAAGACCCAAATTGGTAGGATGATACCTGAATGCAGCATAGAAAAAGCTGGTGTTTCTATAGATGACTGGGGTCCTAGTACCCTGTTCATCAGAATATGTCATGTACTACTTTTTAAAAATTGTTTATTTTTGTTGGAGAGTCAGCTTTACATAGTGAAGAAGAGACAGAGAGGAATATCTTTCATTTGTTGATTCACTCCCCAAACAGGTGCAACTGTTAGTGCTGAGCCAGTCTGGAGCCAGGAGCCAGGAGATTCTTCTGGGTCTCCCACATGGGTGCAAGGCCCTGAGGACTTGGGCCATCATCTGCTGCTCTCCTAGGCTGTAAGCAGGAAATTGGATCAAAGTGGAACAGCAAGGATTCCTGCATTGTGGGTGGAAGATAGCCTGCTGTGCCACAGCACTCTTTGGAATCAAAAGAACATCAGTTTTGCTTTTTTATTGTATTTGAAAATCTGGGAGATTTCCGATTTTTTTTACTCCACAGATCCCTGTATTGGCTGGGGCTGGGCCTGTTGAAGCTAGGACCAATCTGGGCCTCCGGTTGGTGTAAGTTACCAAACTACTTGGTCATCACCTGTCACCTCCCAGAACTTGGCGTTACCAGGAAGGTGGAATCATGAACATAATATGGCACCTTAAAGCAAGCACTCTGCTGCATCTTAACTGCTATATTAAATGTGGGCCTCTGAAAATAGGAGTTTTCCCATTAACTTGAAACTCATATTCTCGATGATTATATGAAATGCAATCATTATTATCAGCTTCAGTGATATATTAAAAATTAGTGTTTGGGGGGTCTGGCATGATAGTATAGTGGTTAAAGTCCTCGTGTTGAATGTGCTGGGATCTGATATGGTCACCGGTTCTAATCCTGGCAGCCCCGCTTTCCATCCAGCTCCCTGCCTGTGGCCTGGGAAAGCAGTTGAGCATAGCCCCAAAGCTTTGGGACCTTGCACACCCATGTGGGAGACCCAGAAAGAGCTCCTGGCTCCTGGCTTTGGATTGGTTCAGCTCCAGCCATTGTGGCCACTTGGGGAATGAGCCATTGGACGGAAGATCTTCCTCTCTGTATATCTGACTTTCCAAATCTTAAAATATTTGAGTACAGCACCTTAGGCTAGCGGCTAAAGTCCTTATCTTGACAAGCAGGGATGCCATAGGAGCGCTGGTTCTTGTTCTGGCTGCCCAGCTTCCCATCCTGGGAAAGCAGTTGAGCACGGCCCAAAGCCTTGGGACCCGGCTCTCACGTGGAAGACCAGGAAGAAGCTCCTGGATCCTGTCTTCAGAGTGGCTCAGCTCTGGCCACTGCTTGGAGAGAGTCAACGGATGGAAGAGCCTTCTCTCCTCCTGTCTGTATATCTGACTTTCCAATAAAAATAAGTCTTTAAAAAATAGTTAATGTTACAATCTGGGAACTTAAAGTATTTTTATATTATTTTCCATGATACTGTTTCTAGATACAGGAATACCTCCTCTATCTCCTACCTCTTTCCTCTTTCTGCACTTCTGCCACTAATTTCCCCCATATTGTTAGGGTAGTAATAATGACCATCATGAGTTGAACATTCTTCTGTTTAAGTGTATCATGGCATTGTTGGTATAGGTAATGGCAGAAAATCTGGTATCAGTTTGTCAGGATGTATTTAACGGTTTCATGTGAGTCATATTGGGAGATAGAGATGTATGATGCAACCTACTTATACTTTCCAGTGTGCTAGTCTCCATTATACAGTTCATCTATGAGAATATGTACATATTTAGCTATATTTATTGATCATCTATTTTGTGTGAAGATTGCCTTATATCCAAAAGAGCAGATATTTGTCCTTTTGGGCATGGCTTATTTCACTGAGCATAATGGTCATTGGGGCCATTTTGTTGCACATGGTAGAATTTTTTTTTTTTCCCTTAAGGATTTAGTTATTTTTATTGGCAAGGCAGATTTACAGAGGAGGAGAGACTGAGAAAGATCTTCATCTGCTGGTTCAGCCTCCAAGTGGCTTGCAGTGACCGGAGCTGAGCTGATGCAAAGCCAGGAGCTGCTTCTGGGTCTTGCCTATGGGTGCAGAGTCCCAAGGCTTTGGGCCGTCCTCTGCTGCCTCTTCAGGCCACAAGCAGGGAGCTGGATGAGACATGGAGCAGCCAGGACACAAACATTGATTCCTTGCACTTGAAAGGGGATGATTAGTGGAGCCATCATGTTTTGTTTGGGGTTTCTATTCTCATTGATCATCTTCATTTCTGTGCCAGTGTAGTTGGGATTCTGATTGGAATTATTAAATTGCATATTTTGGTTATACGGACATTTTGATATTGATTCTGCCAATCCAGGGACAGAGTAAATTTCACAGTCTTTTTTTTTTTCTTTTTAATGTTCTGCAATTTTGTATCTTATGTTAAGTGTTAAGGACTTTTGTGTCTTATATTCAAGGATATTGGTCTGCAGTTCTCTATCTGGTTTTGGTATTAAGGTGATGCTGGCTTCATACAGTTTGAAAGGATTGCTTCTTTCTGTTTTGGATAGCTTGTGGAGGACTTGGGTATGTTCTTGAAATGTTTCGTAGAATTCAGCAGTAAAGCCAGGGCTTTTGGTGCAGGGGGATTTAGTTACTGATTCAATCCTTGTCCTGGTTTTAGGTCTATTTAGATTTTTCATTAAGTCATGGTTCGATTTTTGTGAATTGTATGTCCAGGAAGCTATCCATTTCTTCTAGGTCTTCTGATTTGTTGGCATATAGTTGCTTGTAGTAATTCTTGATTATTCTGTATAAATCTGTGGTATTTGCTATATTTTGTTTTTAATCTCTGTGTCTGTTGATTTTATTAGTTGGGCTATTGGTGAATCTATTTTACTGATTTCCTCAAAAAAATTAGCTCTTTGATTTTGTGGTGTTCTTTTGGTTTCTGGTTTATTTCCTATCTTCGTTTGTTTTTCCCCTGTTCATCTTGGGATTATTTTGCTGTTTTTCTAGCTCCTTCAGGTGTATGGTTAGCGTGTTTGCTTGGTGTCTTTTTAGTGTCTTGACATCGGGACTAATTGAAAGGAACTTTCCTCTTACCACTGTCTTGACTGCGTCCTGAAAGTTTGATATATTCATTCCTCTTGGATGACATCCTCTGTAACCGATTGCTCATTAAACAGCATGTTGTTCAGTTTCCAGGTGTTTGAATATCTTTTGGGACATTTTTACATGCTGGTCTCCTGTTTCATTCCATGATCATCTGATACAATTTTGATTTTTAAAAATTTTGCTTAGGCTTGTTTTGTGGACTATCATGTTATTAGTCCTGGAGAAAGCTCCAT